TTTTTCCTGAATTGAGAATAGTGTCAAGTGTCACCTGCCAAGGGTGAAATTTATTTATTTTACTTTCTTTCTCTTTTCTTTTCTTCTTTCTTTCTCTCTCTCTTTTTTAAGTAGGCTCCACACCCAGTGTGGGGCCCAATGTGCGGGTTCTGAATTCACAGTCCTGAGATCAAGACTGGAACTGAGATCAAGAGTTGGAAGCTTAACTGACTGAGCCCCCAGGTGCCCCTTTATTTTTTAAATTTTATTTGACAGAGAGAGAGAGAGAGAGAGAGAGAGAACGCGTGCGCACAAGCAGGGGGAGCGGCAGGCAGAGGGAGAGGGAGAAGCAGGTTCCCCACTGAGCAGGAAGCCCTGTTGAGGGGCTTGATCCCAGGACCCTGAAATCATGACTTGAGCTGAAGGCAGACGCTTAACCGACTGAGCCACCTATGCGCCCACTTTATTTTCTTATTAAAACTTGTATAAATTTAAGGCATACAGCATGATATAATATACAAATACATAGTAAAAAGATTATGATAAGCTAATTAACACATCATCTCCTTATACACTTATATTGCTTTTTCAATACAGAACTTTGGAACATCATGACCACAGGTGATTTCATAGAAAGATTCTAGACCTTTTTATTCTAAGAAAGGTGATGTGACACGAACTCACCAAAAAGGGAAACTGTGGCTTTACTGCTTATGAACTAACTAGTGAAAAAAACCAATCTCTTGGGCACTGTAACGAAGGATTTTAAAACACTGTGTCATGAAAACACTGAAGAAACAAGTTCCAGGAATAAGCAGGAAAGTTCACAGCAGTATGAACTTCGCAGTACAGGATAGCCACAAAACCGACAGAAGGCTGGGATAAAGAACAGGATCCCTACACAATAGGGAAGTGCTGCAGGTGTACTACTCATTGAGGTCTTCACTGGCTACTTGGTGGCAACCACTGCAGGCACTGAACCTGAAACCGTTAGCAGGTGGCGGGGGGAGAGGGCGGTGCTGGATGCAGGAGATAACAAAAATGGATGGTGAAAACCAGGATGGTTGCTTTGATCTATGAATTCTAAGCATACATGTGCATGCACGTGCACACTCAGATTCAATCATTTTTTTAAGATTTTATTTATTTATTTTAGATAGAGCACATGAGAAAGAGGGGGCATGGGGGGAGTCAAAGGCAGAGGGAGAAGCCAGCTCCCTGCTGAGCAAGGAGCGCAATGTGGGACTCGATCCCAGAGCCCTGAGACCATGACCTGCACTGAAGGCAGATGGTGAAATGACTGAGCCACCCAGGCACCCCCCAGATTCAATCATTTTCCAGCAGGAGCGTGCACCTACCAACTTACCAGTGTTGAAGATTCTTCTCCAAAAAGTAGCCTGATTGGATAATGTACTTTTTAGCTTCTGGTAGCACCTCCATCAGTTCTTTTCCCCATTGCCTGGGAGGCTTGCCATTCACAGCAAAGGCTGTAAAAAGAGCAGAAACAAGGGCTCCCAGGTAGCCTGTGGGGTGATGGTGGGTCATCCTGCCACTCTCGATGCTCACCTGGATCAGTGCGTCCAGCTGGCTGCGGTGAGGGAACCGGAGGCCGATGCACATGGCACGCATGGCAGCCCCGCAGCCACCCTCGTGGCTGTTAAAGGGAATCCTCCAGCCATTGGCCTCATCTGGCTTCAACAGCAAGGCATTCTGCACTGAAGCACCCCCTGGGAAGAGTCGGGGAGAGCAGAGGGTCAGTGTAACCAAAGCAAAGGCCCCCGCAGGAGGAAACAACCAAGTTCTGTCTCTGTTTCTTTGATGGACAGGGAAAGCCCCCAAAATATGATGAATGCCCCCAGACTCCAAACCCCAAGCCAACACTGTTCCTTACTTTCTATATAACCCCCAGCATGAGAAGATTGATGATACAAGAATCAAATTCATATAGAGTCTTGGAATCTTTATCAGTTATTACTGAGACATCATAATAACTCAAAAAGATAGGTTTAACATATGATTGTCTTTTCTTAAATGACTAAGGTAAAGCTCAGAGCTTAAAAACCTTGCTCAAAATCACTTAACCAGCTAGCTAGTGGCCCCATCAAAACCATCAGATTCAGAGCCCCAGCCCTTAGAGAACCCAATGAGAACCTGACCAATGGAGATCTGAATGCTAGAAAGAGGCTGCACGTTCTAGAGTGAGGACTACCAGGCTCAGAAAAGGAGCAATGGGTTCAGAGCAACAACGTGCCTTTGGGTGCCCTAGGTTTTGTAAGCCTCTTTTTTTACTAATATATAATATCTTTCCATATCAGTCAATATTTATCTGCATAATTTTAAATGGCTGTGAACACATCACCATAATTTTAAAAAATTAGAGAACATTTAGGTTGTTTCTATTTTTATCGCAACTATAAAAAACAATTGTCGTCTTGATATTTAAATCTAAGTCAACATTTTTAATGAGTGCCTTGGGCCTGTTTTATTCTCTACCTGCCCGTGACCTCCACTGGCCACACTCACCTGGTGCCCGGCCATCCATGTCTTCCATGCAGTCTTGGTAATGCTTAGCAAGTAGGGCATATAGGTGAGCCAAATCCAAGACTTTGCCGGCTTCCACAAGAGCTTCAGCCGTGGCCAGGTGCATCACCGTGTCATCACTGACTCTCCACCTCTCCACATCGATGGCATCCAACCCACCATGCTGGGCCAGCTGCTGGTGAATCTTTTCCCCATCCCGGAGAAACTCCCACTTCCCATTGAAGTACCCCAAGGCATCTCCAGCTGCACTCAGCACCATGGCAGCCACATACCTCTCCATCAGTCCCTCACACATGGTGAGGCTGTCTCTGTGGGAATATTAAGATATACAGAGGATAAGGAAAAAGAAGAATCAGAAAAACTTAACAGGCCTACCTACATGTTACTGAGCACTCACTACTTGGAGGGCATTGTATTAAGTGCATCTCATTTAATCCTCACAACTGCTCTATCAGGAATGTATTAGACCCATTCTAGAGGTGAGTACATTGAGGATCACCAAGAGAACACAGTATCAGAAACGTGATGTGCCTTATCTTAGGTCACAGAGCTACTAAGTGGCAGGGCTGGGATTCCAGCTTAGGTCCATCTGACTTTACAGCCAACGATTTTAACTATGACTCCATCTTTGCCTCTCTGTGAGTAGCAAGCCCATTAAATTCTGCGAGTCAAACCAAGCTCATCATTTTCTCGTTTTAGTTGGGATTTGGCCTTGGAAGTGTACCCCTCCTTTATTAAACAGTAGTACTTTCCACTGGCATCACAATGCACAGTTTGCAAAGCACCTGCACATTCTGTCTCAGTAGTAGGGAGGGATGACAATACACATTTCACAGATAAGAAAACTGAGGCTCAGAGAGAGTAAATTCACACAAGCAGTGATGGAGGCACTGAGACCGGAATCTTCTGACTCCAGGTCACTCCTCCTCAGCACAGATCTACTTACCTTGGGCAACCTCTTTGTGCCTCAGCCTCTACATCTCTAAAATGGTGACAAAATAGTAACAACCTCATTGGTTTGTTGTGAGAAGTAAATAAATTAATTTTTGTAAAGCACTTACAACAGTGCTTAGCACATAGTAAGCACCATTTTTATTCATACACAACCAGGGGAAAGGATTTTTCTCTTATTGAACTAGAATACTTTCTCCCCACAACCTTCCTTTCAACAGCAACATTTTAATTTTGTCTTCCTGCTAAATGATTTAACTTCTAGAGTTTTAGGATCTCAGCTAATATTCCCTCCACAAATTTAGTCCCTGGTGAAGTGCTGGTTTTCCCGGAGGTGCATTTCCAATTCTCCATTGTGTCCTACTGCCTGCAGCATTCATGTTCAAAGCCCTCCACCGTCTGTCCCAACTCTACCCACCTCCTTCACCTGCAGGGGCCAGGCGCTTTTAAACGCCCCCCCTGCGGGTGGACTGCACTGCTGTGGGCCAGGGAGTGCAGGCTGGCAAGCACCTAGATAAGAGTAAATGATGAAGACCGGCTGAGCATACCAAACCAGAGATACTGACCTTACTGAGTTTCTTGATTCACAAAGGCTATCTGTAAAACGTTGTTTACATATTTTATGATTTACAAACGATACCTAGGAACTGGAGTTCCGGGCTACTAGACCTGGCTCTGCCAAGAGTCAGGTGTATGACTGTGGACAAGCCACCCACTCTGGACCTTGACTGTCCCATCTATGAATAGGAGAGTGGGGGCTCCCGTCTTGCGCTGAGACCTTCGCAGCCCAAGCTTAGCTGGCTTTTAAGCACCAACTTTTAACCCCCTGTATCCCCTCTCCCAATGTCCTGCCATTCCTTCTGGCTCTACCCGAAAGCGTGTTTTTGTGAAGGGCAAGCAGAGGTGGGGGACGATGACCATTTCTTTCCTCGGAAATTCTCTTTTAACATTTACACGTATTGCTCTCAGCCTCCCGCTTTCAGAACACCACTATTCCCTAGCCTCCTCTTCTACCGTTTACATTCTAGGCCCCAAACTGTAACTATAACTATATATTCAAACAAATTCAAAACTTCAAAACTAAGGTCTGGGCAGCGGCTTCCCGGCGGTCCTCTCTTTTTTTTTTTTTTTTTTTTTTTGTAGTGGTGGTGGGGAAAGACGCCTGGACAGGGGCTGGGTGGGCGCCTGGTCACCGCCGTGTAAGGCGGGACGCGGGGCTGAACGCGCGGGTCTCCGGCGGAGGCGCGCGCGGGGGCAGGGCCGAGCAAGGATCGCGGGGAGGAGGGCAGGCGGGACCCGGGCACTGCCGGGAGCCGGGCGCCCGCAGGTTTGTGGGAGGACGGCGGGGAGGAGTACCTGCTGGCCGGTCCTGGAGCGCGCGCGAGGTGAGGGCGGGGCCGAGCGCCGGGGGTTCAGGGTGCGCGGAGAGGGCAGGCTGCGTCCGGTGTGTGGAGGCGCAGAGCCACCCCGCCGCGAGCGGAGCGCACAAGGAAAGGGCGGAGCCGCGCAGCCGCCGTCGGGGGCCCAGGTTCGACGGACCGTGGACAAGTGTTGCGCGACTTCCCGGCAGCGGTGTGGCCCTCTGCGTCCGGGCAGGGCCGAGGGGAGCTGCGTCACCGGCCACCTGGGCTGGCCACGGCTCCGGGCAGCGCCTGGCATTTCGGAACGTCGCGGCTCAGAGAACCAGACTCACAGACTGAGTGACGATGACTCACCTGTAGCCCTTTGCAGACGCCTGGGCCTTTCGTCTGCCCAGCTTTTGTGGGTTATGGTGAGCCAGTGTGTGGCCAAATACTGGGGAAAGGGTGCTGAGTGCAAGACCTTTGTCCGGGTTCCGAACCCCTCCCATAAAATGGTAAAATAATGGCACCTACTTCTAAATGGTGGTTGTAAGGATTAATTTTAACTCTTATTTGGTAGCAGTTTAGAATTTTTGCACCCTGATAGTAAATAAAAGCAAAGAAAAACTAACAGTATTTTTGTTTGGCTAAATTAATTATGTCACCCTTGAAGAGAATGAGAATCACCATATGTAAGTATTCTATATACTTGTCCAAAATTTTAATTTGCTATCCTTATCTTTCTGGCTGTAATTACCCAGACCTGGCTTGAGAATTTTGTTTTTAATTGAGATGCAAATGCACTCCTTTGGTGTTCTGTTCAGTGAGTTTTAATAAATATATATACCTGAGTAACCATAGTCAAGATACAGAATATTTTCATTACTCCGAAATGTTCCCTTGTGCTCTTTTCCAGTAAGGCCCCACCTCCACCTTCAACCTTAGCCAAAGTGATTTTTAATTGTTTGCAAAAATCAAATCACTGTCCACCTCTGAGGGTGTAGTCAAAGTTGCCTGGTGAGGGACATTTTTAATAAGCATTCCTATCAAACTCATAACTGTTTCAGTTTAAAATGTCTGTTGAGGATATTGTTCATATTACATAATGCTCTTTCCACAAGAATCCATGGAAAAAGTGTTTCTTTGGCTTGAATATAAATAATAACTAGGGTTGTTCTTAGCCATTAGTTTCCTTTTACTTTATGGTGCCTGTGAACCTTGCTATAACTTGGACTCCTGACTCATTCATGCTACTGAATGGCTGCAGATAGAGTTTTGTCCAGGACCTCTGAGCCATAAACTGTTGTCATCCTTCACCACCTTGTTTTACTAATTCCCATACTTTATTAGCCTCCATCCCCACTGAAAGCACATTTTTTAAAAAGACTTTTTAAATTTTATTTATTTATTTGAGAGAGAGAGAGAGAGCACATGAGAGGGGGGAGGGTTAGAGGGAGAAGCAGACTCCCTGCCAAGCAGGGAGCCCGATGCAGGACTCGATCCAGGGACTCCAGGATCATGACCTGAGCCGAAGGCAGTCACTTAACCGACTGAGCCACCCAGGCGCCCGGAAAGCACATTTTTTTACTGTGGTTAGTTTATCTACTGCCTTCTTTAGTATTCTAGTGCATAAGGCCAGCCAAAGGCTCTGCCTTTACTTGGGAAGAACAACAGTGCACCTGAACAGTAATGCCCCAGGGTTTTACTGAAACCTCTTCTTACTTCTCACAAATTTTAAAGGCTGATCTAGATGATATAAAATTTCCTGGAGGTTCTGCCCTATTACAATATGTAGATGACTTCCATCTCTGATCGCTTTCCCAAGCCTCTTCACAGGTGGACAGCATCCATCTGTTAAAACTTTTAGCTTTAAAGGGACATAAAGTCTCTGAGGAAAAATTGTGCTTTGTTCAAACTCAGGTTTGATATCTAGGGCATCTGATTTTGGAACAAGGACTACATTTAGATCCAAATAGGCTTCATGACATCTTGAATTTCCCAAAATTCAAAACTAAGTACCAGCTATGAGGTTTTTGGGGGGCTAGCTAGCTACTGAGTGTGGAAATTGTCCAAATTTCTCTCTTATGGCCCATCCCCTAGATGTTTTACTAAAAAAACTACAAACTTGACCATATTATTTAGGAAGATCAACATGACTTAGCCTTTAAAGCCTTAAAGGAAAGCTTAATAAATCCCTCCGCCCTTGGATATCCCAATGATCAATTTCTCTTTTTTCCTTTTTGTATGTTAAAAAGAATGGAATGCTCTTATGGTACTCACCCAAAAACATGGGGACCACACTTACCCAAAGGGTATTTATTATAGCCACCAGCGAGGCCCTACTGTACAAGGTACCCTCCCTTGTCTCAGACCATTCCTGCCACAGTCCTTTTAGTCAAGGCCACTGAAGAAATAATCATAAGATTCCCGCCCCCCCCCCCACGGCCCCAACTATTCTGGGACTCCATGTGGTAGAAGCCTTTCTAAATTCTCACCATACTCAACACCTTTCATCTAGTCGCCTCACCTCCTGCAAAATCTTGCTAACCACTTCTCAGATTCTTCCTCACTGTAATAACCTTAACCCTGCGATTCTTCTCCCTTCCTCCCCTGAAAAAACCTCTCACTACTGCTTAATACAAATCACCTTCTGACTCCCATAATGACTTACAGGAAACTGCTTTATCATGCTGACTTTTCACGGTTTACTGATGTTTCTTATTTAAAAGGTGAAAATGATATATATTGTGTGAGCTATACAACTGCAACTCCCTTTTGAAGTTCTTGAGGTGGCCTTTGGCTTTGGCTACAGGCGGAATTGTATGCTCTCACTCAGGCCTGCATTTAGCCAAGGGCCAACTGCAAATATCTATACTGACAGGAGATAGGCCTTTGGAGTAGCTCATGACTTTGGAATGTTGTGGAAACAGCGAGGCTTCCTTATTTCCAACAAAGATAAAATTTAAAATGGTTCTCACCTTCAAAATGCCATATTATTAGATGCCATACTTCTACTGGCCACTTTGGCTCTCACCTTCAAAATGCCATATTATTAGATGCCATACTTCTACTGGCCACTTTGGCTATTTTCAGGTCCCTGGGCATTCCAAACACCTCACTGATGTTTCCACCAAGAACACACTGCACTCAGAAGAACCAACAACCAAGCCTCTGTCATGGTCCACGGGGATGTTCCCCCAATGATAATCTGGAAAAATTTACTACAGATGTTCAGAAATTGGCCCCAGAAAAAGGAAAACAAAACTGGAAACCTAATAACTGTTTGTTCAATAAAAAGAGCACTTTGGTTTGGCCCAAATAGAAACCCAGTCCTACCGGAGGCCTTAAAAGTCCCATTACTGACTACTGTACATGCATTGACTCATTGGTTCACTGATAAGATCATAACTCTTGTGAACCCACACTGGTGGGGAAATAACGAAGAACTGCAAAAAGTGCCTATTTTGCTTGCCCCGCTAGTCCAAAATACAAAATAGAGAAATACAAGATACAGCTGCTCTTGGACGCTTTAAATTCCCCAATGGGCCATTCGAAGTTTGGTAAATGGATTTCATTCAACTTTTCCCACTTCAGGGATAAAATTACGTTTTAGTCATGGTTTGTATGTTTTCTCACTGGACTAAGCTTTTCCCTGTAGGCAGGCTACTATCTCTTCTATGGCTAAAATCCTATTAGAAAGTGTTATCCCTACCTGGGGAACCCCCCTTGAACTTCATAGTGACTGGGGAACTCACTTCATTGGCCAAGTGCTTCAAAAGGTCTGTACTATTTGGACAGTTCTATGACACTTTGTGCTTACCACCCTCGATCCTCACATCTAGTTAAATGCACTAGTAGCATCGTTAAAGACTCAGTTGGCAAAATTTGTAGAGACTCTTCAAATACCCTGGCCAAAGGCAATGCCATCAGTCCTTCTAAGTCTCAGATCCACACCTTCTGGAACCCAGAAACTCTCACCCTGTGAGATAATCACAGGGTTCCCACTGCACATGGCTCCTGTTTCCATTGATCTACAGCTGATGAAAGGAGATATATTTCAATACTGTAAAGGCCTAATGGCTTCTGTTGAAAATAACCATGCTCTAGTAGAAGAATCCTTCCATAGTACACTCCCCAGGGATGAAGACGTCAAGCATCACTCCTTATAACCCAGAGATTTTGTCTCTTGGAAAAGACAGCTCCAGAAAGACTCTCTTCAACCTCATTGGAGGGACCCCCATCAGGTACCATTAACCAACCCCAGTGCTGCTAAACCCCAGAGAATAACCCCTGGGAATAATCCATGTGTCACACTAAAGACTGAACAAACCCCAAGTTGGGCCTGCACATCAACTGGTGACCTGAAAATTTCCAGGAGTTGAAGCAGATGGCAGCTGAAGAAGTCCACTTTCCTATGATGACCAGACCAGGCCTATAAACCTTCCTTCCCTTGTTCACTGTCTCTTTCTTCACCCTCTCTTTCATGGGGAGACAATGCCCTTGCCTGCATTTGCCAATCCTTTGTAAAACGGGGGGAACCTCTCCAACTGTCAGATTTGTCATCAGAAACCTCGGTCTGTCCTGACAGCAGGGACTCCTTCGTTTACCCTGTAAGGAATTTTGCTGAAATCCCAGATGCCACTGTATGCCTAAATTTTTCCACAGGTCCCTTTTATAAAGTCAGAATACTAAACCCACATACCCCTGTTCCTTGCCTCAATTTAACCCAATCCTGGGGTGGGAGAACGAGATGCATCAAAAATATATATAAAAGATACTACAGAGCAGTCAGCATAAATCAGACTATTGTAGGCTTGCTGTCAAATCCATGTGTTAGGGTAGTCTTTCAATAAGTAATAATAACAGTGTTTGAGTCTTGGCTGAATGATGCTAATGCCTCTATTAGCAACAAAGAGTCCATAAATGCTAATACTTATGAGGGAGCCCTATGTACATGACTTGGCTACTCCTTTATATGAGGAGGTTTTGCAATGGCCCCTATACTTGGGCACCTCACCGTCTTGACAGCTGGAGGATGAAAGGGCATTGTGCTCTTCCTGTATTTACCATTCTGTTTTCTCTTCATAACAAATCAGAAGCCTACCACTGGTCCACTCCATTAAGCCCTCATGGCCATCTTAAACAGAAATTTCTAGGAGGCATACAGGACTCTGGGTTTGCTGAGGGAGAGATGATCAAGAATCTCTCCCTAATATTGGGAGAGTTAGCCAACCACAGCCAAGGCAATAGCAGCCCAGAACTAATCACTTGACTTGCTGCCTAAAGTAGTTTTGGATAATTGAATAGCCCTCGATTATTTACTTGCTGAACAAGGAGGTGTTTGAATAGGCAATACCACCTGTCATATATGGATAAATTCTTCTGGGGAATTAGACCCCCAACTGCACAAAATTAGGGAACAAGCACATTGGCTACAAGAAATTTCATGTAATGATCCATGATCCTTTGGCCTCTTTCTCTGGTTACCTTCAGGTTTGGGCTCCTGGGTTAGAGCCATCACACAAACTGGATTTGTCACATTACTTTTAATTTTGTTCTGTGTAAACATTTTTAAACTTTGTACCTATTGCCTGTCAAGCCTCTATAGAAGCAACATGCCCAACAGGGTGATGCTAACTCAATACTTCAAGATGATCTCCAATCGTTATTTATGACCCTGATAAGATATAAACTTTAGATGGGAGATGCCTAAGAGTTCTCCCTCCTACCCTTCCTTGTTACTCAAATGTGACCTCAGTGTTTTCCAACCTGTGCACTTCCCCTCTGACATGAGTCATGACAACCAGGAAAGGTCCTTCCTGGCACCAAGGGACAAAACCACTAAATGCAGAAAACCTGATTCCTGATCAGTGATGTTTTCAAGGAAACATCTTGAACAAAAGGGGGAAATGTGAAAATGAATAAAAGAAGGCTTCATTCAAAACAGAGTCAGGCAGCCCTGAAGAGGGAAGCTCTCATGCACGTACCACGCATTGCAGTTTATTTTATATACCCAGACAGAAAGAAGCTTACTTCACTACCCCAGTAGGAGGAGTGAAGATTTTCCCCTTGCCCAGCAACAACCCAGCCAATGAGAAACGGCCACATCTCAACCACTGAGAAGTAGCCACAACCTTGAACTCTGGCTCTCCTCCAGTAAGCTTTCATTCAAAATCACGCTGCCCAACTTTCTCCTTTCCTCTGTAAAAGCAGTCCCCTCTCATTTGTTCTCTGGGTCTTGACTATGTTTTACTGAAGTTTACGTGTCCCAAATTGCAATTCCTCTGCTATTCTTGAATAAACTCATTTTGCTGCCAAAATAACTGGCTATTTTATTTTTAAGTTTGACCTACTGACATTTTTTTCTCCTTGGTCAAAAATTAGAAAATATTTCTGGGAAATATTTCCATGGTCATGCAAACCGAAAGAACAATTTGTCAGCTCCAAATACCTGCAAATAACCATTACCCTCCCCCCTCCCACCATTCCCCATACTCAGCAGGCTTAAATAATAAAGACACTTATTATCTTATATAACAAAATGTCTAGACATGTCTAGATTAGCTTACAAAAAAATATCTTAGAAAGCAGAAATCCCCAGAGTTAATTATTTGTTATCATCAAGGATCCAGTTCCTTCCATTTTCCTGCCCTGCTCTTCTCACTGTGTTAGCTTTATCCCCAGGCTGACTTCTCTGACAGGTACAAAATCCAATTACAATTACAGACAATGTCTGATGGGAAAGGCTGTGTATCTTCTTTCAAGGATGAAGAAACTGTTAAGAGAGCCTCTCTCTGCGCCCCCTCCAAGACTAAACCAATCACTGGTAGGCAAGTTAGATTATGAGTTCCCCTTTGATCAAGGATCTAACATCTTCCCCTAGAGGTAGATACTTATACAAAAACCAAGCTTTTGTTCATAAAGGAAAGAGTGAATCCTGTTCTGCCAAGAAGAACTAATATTTATCTGGCATTTTACTAGTGCTAGGCATTAGTGTAGATGCTGGGAAGACAGAGGTATTGAAGATTTAGTTCTTCGCCCCCAGTTTTACTGAAGGAGACGTACTGCAAGTATTTCATTACTCACCAGTCCAGTAGTATTTGTCATTTAGAGGCTTTTACTGAGAAACAAACTTGTGGGACTCAGACCTGATCTCTGAGATGTTTCATCTGTATGGTGGAAATAACGGTACTTTTCATAAAGAGTTGTTAACAATGTCCGGGAGTGATCTTTATATATCCTACAGACATTAAACACCTACTGTGTACCAGGTATATGCTAGGCCCTGACCCAGGACCCTCTGTCGTGGAATGGACCCAGCCGTGTAACCTTATTTTAGGTTGCTGACTGATGCTATTTTTAAAATGTTTTTTAACAAAATGTTTACATTTTTTAAATGATAAAAGTAATGCACATTTCCAGCAGAAATGTTGGGAAAGCTTCTAAAAATTTCTCCTAAAATATATAACCACACATGTTCATGAAGATAAATGTTCCTGAATGTTCTTTGCAGAATTGTTTCTAATAGCAGAAAGTTAAAAATAACCTCAATATCTGTTTACATGGGAGTATGCATTTCCTTCTCCTAAATCATGGCATAATTATGGAACTGTTCAAAACCATGAGGTAGACATTTAAATCAGCAGACTATGGGTAAATAATCAAGCTCACATAGAAAGAGCTGAGAGATAATTTTGTTAGGTAAAAAAAATCAAATTTTAGAATGAAGAATATATACGGTCTTAGGTAGGAAAAAAAAGAGCTGTGTGTGTGTGTGTGTGTGTGTGTGTGTGTGTGTGTGAAATGACTGAAGTGATACATATCAAGTTGTTAATAATGATTATGATTATCTCTCAAGAGTACGGTAATGGGAGAGTTTGCCAGAAGTAAGTAGAAACTTTTAATCTTCCACAATTAGAATTTTTGTATATTATGTGTATAAAGAAATTTTAGAAAACATAGGAAAAACAGAACCACTCATATTTCATCACTCATACTGTATATAGTCTTTATTTTATGCACATGTGTTTTGAAAAAAAATTGGATCATTTTGTATATACAACTTTATATCCTATTTCTAATACTATACTATATATAGTGATACATAATTGATTTCAAATGCTCAGATAAAATAATGCCTCTGGAAAAAACTCCCGTTCATACTGATACAAAGAAAATAGGCCCTGACATTCAGTTGTTCTCCAACCAAAGTAGGTCAAAGCTGGTTCATTTGAAGGAAAACAGAAGCACAGATAACTGAAAAATAGTGTATTAAACAAATCTTTGCCACTTCATGGTCCTGAATGCATAATACCACATCTAGTCAGAGCATGAGAACCGAAAAAAGAGAGAAAGCAAGCTCATGCACTAGCTAACAGGAAATGGTTATAAGGCAGGGCCCCTTGAACTCTCAACCAGGCACAAAATAACAAAAAGATTCAAAGGAAAACATACCACAGAAGAGGACTTCAATAAACATCTGTTAAAATGACTTAAAGTGGGGGGAAAAAAATGAAGTAGAGGCTTCTTCGAAGGAAAACAGAAAAAAGCTAGTACAGGAGAAATTGGAAGAGCCCAAAGCAGCTGCTCACATTGTGCTGTATCAGCAATTCAATCCAGAAGACTTGGTGAGCACATCACTGTGGGCAAGGCAGTAATACCCAGATATTTGGCCAAACATTTTTCTAGATGTTTCTGTGAAGGTATTTTTTAGATGAGATGAACACTGAAATCAGTGGATATTAAGGAAAGTCAACGATCTTCCATGATATTAGCAGGCCTGACCAATTCAGTAGAAGGCCTTAATAGGAAAGAAGACTGACTACCACGGAAGGAGGAATTCTACCAGCAGACTGTCTCCAGGCCTGATATAAAGGAAGTTTTCAACTTTTCATGTTTGTGCGCCCTGCTCCTGGGCTCCCAGGGAAGCTATACTTCAACATTTACCAAGTCAAACTGATTCCACAAGACCTCAAAGCATGGGCTCTATTTCTGCCCAGAGCACACATTGTCCATCTGCTTCGTTAAAGAAAATCACCATAAAGGTGTCTTCTGAACACAAAAGACGAGAAAAAGCAAGAGATTTCCTTCCTTCCCATAAGATTAAAGTCCTACAGCCCTGCATATATTAGAAACTTAAGGTCTGCAACTTTCTGAAGTGTTCTTTGTCTAATAATTTGTAACTTTTTATGTAAAAATGTACATAACCCTACACCAAATGTTCCCTCTCTTCTTTGTGAAGACTGTATCCCAGGCAGCTGTCCTAACTTGGGCTCAGATAAAACTCTCTTCCTTTTCTTTTTTAGAAATTCTAAAAGGGTTACTCATTTTGCATCCACAGCTACAGCATCTGCTCCTCCCTGGATCTCCAGCCTGCTGGCCTACTTTGCAGATTTGAACTTGCCAAACTCCACAATCAGGTGAGTCAGTTCCTTAGAATAAACCTGTTTCTCTCCATGTGTATACATATTGGTTCTGTTTCTCTGGAGAATGCTTACTAATATAGCATATAAGATGTGCCAGGCACTTTGCTAGGTCCTCCTTGCAGTTACAGAGGTAAGGCAAAAATCATACTAATAGTGGAGACTTGGTAGAGTATAATGACATTAGGCAATGAGACTATGACAAGAGGGAATGTTCAAGGTACAAGGTCAGCAGATATGAGAGACATAGCCAGCTTAGAATGTTCAGAGAAGGCATCCAGAGAAAATTACACCTGGGCTGATTTTTGAAGCATAATTAAGATAAAGATAAACTAAAGTTGCCAGAAGCCCAAAAATAACCCAAACAGCACACAGGAGAAGCAAAAAAAGAAAACCAAAAATGCAAGTTTAGGTTGGCATTTTCTCCCCAAATGATGCACAGTTGCTTGGCCTGGAGCAACTGGCTAAATATGCACCTGCAGAATGATGAAAATGCCAACAAAATATTCGTGGAAATATTGAGTGGAAATTGTGGTAATTATGGGTGGGAATATGACATACCATGGCCAGGAATTATTTTTGTGGATTCTTTCTAAATAAGCCCAAATCCTTATTGATATATTACTACATTCAGGTTCAAACTAAATGTAGAAAATGGATTCAGAGATAAGTAACAAGGAATAAGAAAAAGGATGCTAAACTGGTAACTCAGAGAAAAGAGCGAATTTTTTTTCACACAGATCTAGTGGTTTTGAGGAGCTGGATAATGATTCTTTATCACCCTAAAGTGTTTCTGTTTGTTTTGAGCTTGTAATGGATATAAATGCCCCCCCCTTCTGTGGATGACTGAACGAGAGAAAATAAGCTTAAAGTAAAGCAGGAGATAGTTTGGTTGTGTTTAGGGAAGAATTTTTTTTCGAACAAAACTAGAAAGGGTGCCTTTCGAAGGAGTTTGCAGCGTTTTATTGCTCAGTCCTTCAAGAAAGGAAGAGACAAACACTGTGTCCTGAAGACTTGAGGCTTCTGTGCCTGAAGGTAGGGACCTGCCCCCAGATCCTGGCCAGTCCCTGTTCTAGGATTGGGGGGGATTAAGAATTGGGGGAGATTAAGGATTGGGGGATTAAGGATGGGGAATTAAGGATTCGGCGGGGGGGGGGGTGGAATTAAGACAGCCTTTGGCTGCCACTCCCCCAGCCACAATGTCCACCAGAGCCCTTAACAAATTTACAAAAGTCACTCTTTTCAGTTTTCTATTTCATTTTCTTTGTCCCCTGAGAAACATAATAAGGAGCCAACCACCAGGCAGGAGAAAAAGTCAGAAATGATCTTGGTGCTTTCAGAACGGGACAGTGTAGTGCCATGAAAGCAAACTTCAATGAATTAAAGGTCATGGGAATTAAAGATTTAACAGTAGTGTGTTATTCTCTGCTTAGACACACCAAGCTATTTACCACTCCTAAAATGGAGCCATTGGCCTCCTTCACTTTCCTCCTTCCTTCTCCTTCAAGTTTTTCCTTTTCCTCCTCCCGCTCTCTTCCCTTCCTCCCCCTTCTCCTCTTTCTTCCTTGTGGAATATTTTTCTGAAAAGTGAAGTAATGGTTGCCATTTGCTTCTTATTGACAATGTAATATAAACTGAAGGGGAAAACCAAAAGGTCAAAACAGAAGATCATCAGACTTCAAAGGGGGAGGAGGAGTAGTAGTTGAATTTTATTCATAAAATTAAAGAGACATTGCATGGCTTGAAAAGAGAGGGAAATTCATCTCTCAGCAGGTCTTCCCAGAAACAGCACCATTTAAAGCACACCTTACACAGACGTTTAGCTGCTATTTGCATGTGAGAAAGAATCTATTTGAAGCCTCTGCAGAGAGCAAGTACCCACCATGAAGGCAGAATTTGATGGAGTGAAGAGCTTTAACAGTGCTCTCAGACTAAATCCCTCCAGCTTTGGACTGATTTCTTGGGGCCACAGCGTGGTGTGGATGGGGGCAGGGTTGAGGGACTCTCTAGGAGCCTGACACCACTAGGAAATCTGCCTAAACTCTTTTTAGATTCCCCACCCCAGGCTTCACCACAGGAGTGGTTACTTTCCATTTTCTGGAAGCTGTATTTCTACCCACTGAGAGCCAGCCGGTGAGCAGCGAAGTCTGTTAGAACAGGGCTACAGGGCTGAGCATCAGAGACCCATCGCAAACCAGAGAGGGGAGCCTGGGGAGTCAGCTGGGCAGCTGAGCTTCCCTCCCTGTGGGAAATCCCAACAAGACTGGGAGAAGGAGAGAGGCTGAGGCCATCTGGTAGGAAGTGTGCCAAAGAAGGGTTCCAAATCTACTGGTGGATGGCTCTCCCAATCCAAGGTTAGGAAATAGTGACTTACAGAAGTTGAGCTACTGCTCTGGGGGAGGTACGGGGTGGGGAGGGCATCTTCCCCTTCTGCAGACTCCAATTCAGCTGATTGCTCTGCTTCTTTCTTCTGCTATTGCTTGCTTCTTTTGTTCAGGGTCCCTCCACCTTGTTCTTATTTCTCCCATTCTACTCACCTTTGCATCCCCAGTGCTTGGCACAGTTCTGGGCTCACAGTGCAAACTCAATAAATTTGAGGGGAATTGGCTTGACATGCCAAAGGAATGGTACATGCATTAGAAGCAAAGAGAAAGGAAAGAGCAGATGGGGATTAGAAGAGTTAACGAGAGCTTCTTGAGGAACTGGCATTTGGTCTGGTCCTTTTAGGAAGGAAGATGTTCAGATGGGCAAAGAGACAAGTAAAGGCATCTAGAAAGTTAAGGAACCCTCAAGGTTTCCATGCAGAGAGACTATAGTGCCAAATGCAGGCAGAAGAGGGGCAGTGGGCAGTGGGCACAGTTTGGACAAGGGTTAACTCTGAATGTCCACTTCTCTTCTCCTTTTAAGAATTCCAGTGACTTCCATTTCAGAGAACCAGCATTCAAAGAGGAATTCAATGTCTTCACACTGATGACGTTTCTACCAGCTTAAGCAGACTGTGGTACCCCTTGGGAGCACCGTGGTGTGAGAGGCTAGATCTGGCCACCCCATGCGGGGCGCAGGTTATAAGCCACTTTGAATGAAGCAGGGCGAGGAGCCAGATGAGGATTTCAGCCCCTCCACTGACAGGCTGAAGGTTGCTGCGACTGTAAGGTAGAAGTTGCTACATCCTTCCTCATCATTATTCAAAATATGCAGCTGACACTCAGACCAAGACACAGATGAATAAAAATGCTCACCAAGCTTTTTTTTTTCCTCGCAGAGAAGATGAAAATGCAGGGGGCCCCTGTCATAGAAAGTTTGCCTGGCATACTTTATAGAGCTTGAATATTCCAAATCTGAGATAGAGCAGCCATCCACTGAACCCTGCCACAAACTTGTTGCTGGGGCAAGGCAAGGTGCCTGTGCCTTCCCTGTCTCCTACCCACACTCTCTTTGCTCTTTCTGGCTGCCTCCGGAGAGATGGTGTCTTTGCCAAGAGACAGGAAGTAGAAGAGGCCACGTTTATTTAGTAAACGCTGCCACCTCTCCTACCACCCCACTCTACAGTACGTCTGTGTCTAATGCCACGTTTCTATCTCTACAGAAATGTGGACAAGATGGGAGGGACGTGAGACCCTCCCTTGGGCTTAGATTGTCTTGATTTAAGGAGGCAGCATTGATTAAGACACCACTATTTCAAATTGTTTCTTTCTTTGGCACCCTAAAGTTTTTTCACTTTCCAGAACATGGCACCCTAGTAATATTCAAGTCAGGTCAGAGCCTTTTTTCTTCTGATAGGGAGAAAGACAAGGTCCTTCCCACTGCAGGTAAGTTTTACAAAAGCATCCATAAAGAAACTGGAAATCTGGAAATGGATTCTCTTAAAATTACCAGGCCTGCATACCCTTTGAAAATCTGCAGGTGCCCTTGGGGGTTTATCTCAGTTTGAAGACATTGCCGTAGCCCAAACAGCTGTATCTTGTGGGTGGCAGGGAAGCACAGCACTGTGGATGCTATACCAGGAGGGCCGGTGTGGGAGTGGACCTGGCAGATCACATCAGAGAAGCTGCCACTCACTTAGTGCCTAAGATTTGTCTCAAATGCAGTCAGCAATTTTTTGAGGTCTGAGCTGAGCCTTGGGACATATTCCCCCTAGTGAGGTCCTGTATCCGCCATACCACAGGCCTTGTCAGAGCCTAAGCACAATCATGGAGTGGAAAAGGCTTTATTCTTTCCTTCTCTTCCTTTGGGATGATTGTCACTCCTCCCACCCTGTGGACATCCAGGGGCCTCAACAGTCATCCTTCCCTATCAGCTTTTAATTTAAAGGGACCTCAGTGCCTTCCTTAACACTGAAAAATATTAGGATAGATGGCAGCTTACACTGCGATTTTTGCCAGGAGAGGCTACTTTCTAATAGCCTGAAGTCAATAGTTCAGACACTTCTCTACCATATTCACAATGTTTACCACATTCATGTATCATATCTACATTTCTTTTTTTTTCTCTGAATTGACTCACCTTTCTACTTTTACAAATTTAGATAGAAAACTATTGTATTTCTACCATAAGAGCATCCCTCCTCTCTTAGCCTAGAGTATCCAGAAAGCAAAGCTGGAAACAAAGGTCTAGTTTATTGAGAATGTAGTCCAGTGGTGCAGAACGGGAGGATTAGACAGGGAAGAAAGAAAAGCCAGTAGAAGGGTACTTTACCATGCCGGCTTCTGCTGCAGGCAGCTGGTACTCGGTCCCACTAGGGCCTTCTGGAAACCCTCATGAAATGTCTCTCAGAACTCCCCACCTGGAAGCTGTCAGCTTCCAACCTCCTCTGGTCAAGAGTAGCCCCATGGACACTAACTACCCCCATATTCCCAGGCTGCACATGTTTAAGTACAGAACTTGCAAGGGTAACCCCTGCCAAAGCAAAAGAGAAGCCCCAGGGCCAGGAGCCAACTGCAAAAGGTTGCAGGCCCAGGCAAAGTGCTGTCAGGTTCTATTTGTGCAAAACCACTCAGCTGCGCCAGCATGTGTCAGCTGTTTACCCACAGAATGCTCCAGAATTCTACACAGGCTGGTTGAAAACAGGGAGTCTGGGGGTGGGGTGAGGGGTAAGGGGGTGGTACTAAAATCTTCCTCACCCTACCCCTCGGTTCTGTCATTGTGCTCACCTGAGGTGCCTGGGATCCTGTCCAACATGGCTGCCGGAAGTCCTGTCTGTGAAGATAGTGGGGGTGGGAGTGCAGTTAAGGGCAGCCTAGTGAACCCAGCACTCTCCAAAAAGTGACCACGACATATGAGGTAGACAGCTCACCCCTGCATTGGCATGACTGTTGAGGAGAGAGGGGTAACTAGTTGTTAAAACTTGAGACTCAGAAACTACTGGCCCACAAAGCTCACAGTCTATCTACCGTCAAAGCCAATGCCCCCCCCAACTCCCCACCCTGGCCTCCCATTCACCCCCAGGCTGCCCTCTACAGTCTTCTCTCCCCTTGAGACTTTTGGTTTGTGTGAGATGGTGAGGGAGGTGCTGTGTGGTTTGTCCTGGCCACACCCTCTGAGGAGGTGGCTGACAAAAAGGGACAGCAAGAGCAAGCTTCCTCAAATCATACATAATACTCTCCCCATCTCCTGCTTTGACTTAAATGCTTCTGGTGAAAGAACATCAGATAGATCTTCTAGTGAGTAAAAGGAAGTTGGAAGGGGGATTGCCACCTCTGGTATATCACCCAAAGAAAAGCTGAGCAACTTGCCATTATTTTGGAGACGGCAAGAAAAGAACATCTCAGAACTGGGGCCTCATCCTTTGATTTTTTAATTTTTTTAAACACAAGAAAAAAAGAGGAATTGTTCTTCAGCAAGTAAGTACATTTACTACTATCTTAATATGGGATAGCTCAGTAGGAATAGTTACCAACAACCTGACTGCCTTTTTAAATAAACATACCATCACTCCTATCTCCAAGATGCATACTTACTTCCAAAGGAGCCTCCCTGGGGTCCCAGCATGGCTGGTGAGTCATCAACAGAGTTATGACTTATAAAATTCTAAAGAAGTGAATCTGAGCTAATCCTGGTTAAAATGGAGTGTGGCTAATAAAACAGTCAAGTGAGGCTAGAAAATGAGCTCTGGGATGGTTCCCAAAAGGGGTCCCAAATGTCTTCTGAGTAGCATTGGACTGTGTCTGTGGTGACAAGCTCAGAAGATCACATTGGAGCGCAACATTCATTTTCAGTTCTAAATTCTGATAAATTTCCTGAAAAAATTTCCTCCCATGGTAATACATAATATAAATAAGTAATTTTTGTAGTACGTCTTTTCCCTTTTTACTAACAGATTTTTCTGTTGATTCAGAACCTCTGCCGGTTTAAGACATGTTCTTTGTGCAGGGCGTTTAAGAATGGAGACACTTTTTTATGTTAATGTATTGAGAAGGAAGTCGTTTCATAATTTAAGTCCTGCCTTGGACAAAATAGGACCTCATTGGTGCTCTGTGTTTCTTGGTATGTTTTGAAGAGGATCTGAATTTTGGCCAGCGGATATTGAGGGCCCTGATAGTTCTCTGTGCTTTGACCGAAATCTCATTGTCCCCATTAAGCAGAACTATTCCATGGGAGCTGTGGTTCGTTCTGGAAACATGTACAGGCAAGATCACCTCCTCGGAGTTCCCCCGACCTTTGCTTTACCCTTGAGATTGTGTGGTTTAGATGTTGCTCAGATTAAGGTTCCCGGCTCATTTCAGGTAGGCAACTAGGGAGTTTTATGACCCATACTAGGCCAACCTTTCTTCCTGGGTGACTTTAATTTTTTTTTCCCTTTCAGGTTGTGAAAATAAATCCACAATCTTTTATATTCAGGAGTTTGGAGACCCAGGTACGCCATCCACGGTGTTTTTGCAAACATCACAGGAGAACCCTCTGTGTGAGACAGCTGAATTGTCTTCTGCTCCTGCCTGGTGCTTGCTGGAAGGTACCCAGGTCTCACTTGGTTTGAAATTGTTTTTGCTCTCTAAGCAGCAGAAGCCATGGATCACCCAGCGAAGTGGAGAACACCACTACTCGAGCATCTGTATCTCAAGCTCTTTCAGTTCTTGATGCTAACTAGTCCTTTTTACTTCTGTTCAGGTAAGGAACTCTCAGGAGCTTGACTGAGTTTGCTGCTTCAAGGTTTAGGAGGTGGGGTTTTCTGTGCTGCCCCCTTCTGTCACTCTGCAAGTTGACCTTCAAGGGCTGGATTTGGGGGGCTGTTGAGAAGAGTGGGGCTCATCCTGCTGAAGAGTGGTTCTGACTTTATTTTTAAAGTCAAAACAAAAGATCTTCTTTCTGCTGAACAGCATACCACCTGGTTTCCCCAAAGTAAAGAGAAGGCTTTGGCTTCAACACGGTCTGCCAGTTTGCAAAGAGCCCAATGTCAAAGGTCCTTGTCTTAAGAGCTGCTCACTTAAAGCATGAGTTCACTGCAGGCATCGGAATGTCTAAGTGTGAGGGAGGGAGGAAGAGGGGACAGGAGAGGAGTTTGGGCGCACGGATTACGTGCCTGCCGTGATGGTAGTCGTGCATTTTCTGTCCTGGGCTTGAAAACTTGCTATTTTACATGGTTGCTGAACCAAGAGAACCACGACCTAAGTTTCATAATTTATGCATCAGATATTGTGTATATTTGACAGTTCTATGACATTTCCAACAGTTATAATTTTCTTCTAGGAAGCTGGGGAAGCACTCCCTAATGAATCTTCTGGGGGAGTCTAAAGAGTTTAAAAATGTTTAGAAGGAAATTTATACAGGCTTCCTAGAAATATGTGTGTGTGTGTTGGGGGGAAACCAATGAAAAAGGGAAAGAAACTATAAAATGAAAACCAGGGTTTTAGCAATTAAGCAAGTGGAAGGAGACGATGTTTGAGCTAAAGAAAAATATTTAGGAAAGCACTTTGTCCTACAGCTATATTCAGATTTTACTATTGCTGTACTGAGTCAACAAACAAAGCCCTGAGCATCTTATGTGTGAACACTTATTATGTACTCAAAAACTGAACCTGGGATTCCTGCCCTCTAAGAGATTCGAGTGTGTTAGTTGAAGAAGGCAAAACTAACCCCCAAGCTAGTGAAGAGCAGTAGAGTGCCTGGTCCCGATCCTAAGAGCCCGAGACCTGGGAAAGGTGGGACCATGGCGGGCTGGGGCAGCCCGGCCAACTTTATGGCAGACGCCGGGTGATGGTGGGAGAATTCTGGGTGGGGCCACAGTGCAGACAAAGGCTAAAGGTAAGGATGAGTCTGGCACAAGTGTTCTTTCTTTTGTGTACTCATCTATTAATTCAACAAATATTGAGCATCTCCTCTGTATAGGATACTTTTCTTGGTCCTGGGGACAAGTTGTGAGCAAGATTGACATGGCTTTTTTACGGTCATTAGGAAGAACGTGAAACTCAGTCAAAGAATCCCTCAAATGAATGTGCAAACGACAAACACTGTCTTTCTCTGCCAGAGGGGAGAGTGGTAAGAATGAGCTGGGTGAATGCAGAAGAGCAGCATGTGAAAGAAACAGAGGAGCAAGGAAGTGGAGACAGCGTGTTGGGGCAGGCGGAGGGAGGGACCAGACTCCATAGGGCTCCAAGGCCATGGTCAGGAATCTGAATGTTATTTGGAGGGACTGGGAAGCCATGGAAGGTTTTAAGGAGTGACGTGGTCTGTACCAATCACCTGGGGGCCTTGTCCAAAACAGTTTCTAGCACAGGGGATTTTCAGGGCAGTGAAAAGACTCCATATGATGCTATAATGATGGATGCATGTCATTTTATGTTTGTGGAAACCCACTGAATGTATAGTGTCAAGAATGATCCCTAAGGGAGACTACAAATTTTGGGTAGTAATGAGGTGTTAATGTAGGTTCACTGATTGTCACAAATGTACCCTCTGGCATAGGATGTGGATGGTAGGGGAAGCTGTGTGCGTGGAGGGGATGGAGTATATGGGAACTCTCTGTACTTTCCATTCATTTTGCTGTGAACCTAAAATGCTCTAAAATAAAGTCTGTATATTTTTGAAAAATACAGTTTCTGCTGAGGTGGGCCAGGGAGGAGCCTAAGATTCTGCATTTCTAACAAGGACTCAGGTGATGCCAATGCTGTTGGGCCACAGACCTTCCGTTTGGGTAGTAAAGCTCCGAAATGATGTTTTAAAAAAGAAGTGTTGCTAAAGCATAAAGAGCAGCTTGTAGGGCTGCCAGAGTGAGGGCGTAAAACCAGTCAGGAGGCTATGTTGGACAGCTTTGATGAAGACACTGGAGTCAGGGCGGGGGGTGGAGGTTGGAGAGTGTGGTGCTATAGCATCAGGGAGGAGCTGGGAGCTGCGGATGGCCCGCAGGAGGCAAGGCTGGGTGAGATCACAGAGGCTTTGGCTTCGGAGAAAGGGATTTGCCACACATCCTGCTCTGGTCTGGGCCAGGAAGCTGCACTACCCCCCACCCCACCCCTCCGCCCCCATCCCCAGCTTGGCCATTGCTGCCCAGAACAGGGGACCACTTTGTCCTGAGAAGGGAGGGGCTGGCCAAACTCCTCTCCACTTCTGGTTGGGTCTGTGGAGGCAAAACACTGGACTCGTGGACTCCAGAAACTGGCAGTTATAAGGCGGAGAGGGTCTAACTGGGTGGCTCTCAGAGGGGCCAGCACGGGCAGCTTTCTCTCAGAGGTGGGGTGTTTTCAGGAAAGCAAGCTCCAAGGTGAGGGGAGACGCCTTTGGTAGGAGTTGGCCAGGGACACAGGAACGGTGTTGCCTGTAAGTCTATGGCATGAAGAAGACTGAGCCAGAGGGAAAAGAATGCCCTCAGAGTGCCACAGGGACTCTTCCCGTCATCAGGTACCATCTGAACGCTGCTGGCCAAGGGCTCCTATGAGCCGTGGTTCTGGCTGGGACAACCCTGATATTCAAAGTCCCTGGGCTTTTTCAAGATTTAAGTACCATTTGGAGATGCAAAGGATCAGATTTATACAGAGCGTACAAGCTGGGTCTCAAGAGGAGAGAAAGTCAGGAGTGATGCAAAAATCAGGTGACAGGTCTCAAATCTGTCAGCCGCTGGAGAACAGACACTTATCTTCCTTGTGTTCCTGGCACCAAGCCCAAGGCCGACACAAGCCCCATGGGCGCTGGTTCACCTCATGAAGAGCACTTAGCAGTGTCCCAAAGGGTCACTGCCTTTGGAAGGGTATACACAGACCATTAACAGTAAATCTCTAGATGGTGGGATTATAGATGACTTTTATGCTTTTCTATGCTTTTATTCTTTCTATAAATTTAATGTGTGTCTCCTTTAGAGTCAGGAAACACCTTTATTTATTTATTTATTCTTTTATTTTTCTAAAGATTTTTATTCATTTATTTGAGAGAGCGAGCACGTGCGCATGAGAGAAAGCACAAGTGGAGAGTGGGGGAAGGGCAGAAGGAGAAGCAGACTCCCCACTGAGCAGGGAGCCAGATGTGGGGAGATCCCAGGACCCTGAGATCATGACCTGAGCTGAAGGCAGATGCTTAACCATCTGACCTACCCAGGCGCCCCGAGAACACCTTTATTTAAAAAGCATACTTAAGTCCCAGTGACATAGCATACATCACAGCACATGGGGACTTAAGCTCTTCTGCCCAGCTCTGGATACTTGGCTCAGTCCGGATGTCAGCCAGTTACCACGATTATTCTGGCCTGTCCTGGGTGTGGTTCAACAAATCACATCCTATTAATGACAGGAACGGCCCCATTTAAAAATCTGTATAGTGTTTTACAGTTAACTAAGCACTTTTACATCTGGGTATCATACAATCCCTGTGATAATTATGTGAAATTTTAGGGGAGAAATTATTATGCTTATTTTGCAGAAATTCCCAAGGAACCACCTTGTTCAAGGTTATGATTCTAATGTGCAGCTAATAGAGCCAGATCTCATCTCCTAATGCCTAACCATGCATTCAGCAAATAGTTATTGAGGACCTACTATGGGCCAGTCCCTGTCCTAGATTCTGCAGATATAGCAATGAACTAAACAGATAAAGCCCCAGCTCTCACAGCCTCAAAAGTAACTACTGCTGGAAACAAACTTGAAGAGAAATAAATCAGGGCAAGGGACTAATGAGCAGCAGGATGGATGGGGTCTGGGAAGAAGGTGCTGGTTAGGGAGAGTCGGAGAAGGGATCTCTGACAAAGGGGGACCAGAGCAGAAACCCGAGAGAAGCAAGGCACTGAGCTGTGTGGCTGTCTGGGGAAGGCACTGGTACCTGGCACTTGCCAAGGTCTGCAGGGGCGTCTCATGTGTGTTACCTCACAGAATCTTCATGCCCACTTTGTAAGGTAAGTGTGGCTCTGCTCATCTGTAAAATGGTGAAGCAAAGTCAAAATTCCACTAGGTTTTAGGCAGTAATGCTCAGAATCCAGGGACCCGACTCTCCCCTCCAAATCCACCGAGGCAGACAAAACACTTCAGACCTTTCAGTTGTCTGCATGCAGCAGGCCAGAGTATGGAAGCCGGGTCCCGTGGAATTTCCAAATCGCTCAGAAGATTTTTGGTTCCTCTTTTCAGTCTGGTTCTTCTTCAGCATGAGTGTGTGGTGAGAGGATTTCACATAGGAACATTAAGGATCCCATTGATGGTTACTGACCTTTAGAGGGACACCCACGCTTCTCCTCAGATGGCTGGACAAAAACTCCTTAAGTGTCATCATTGAAAGTAGCTCGTTTTCAGTTCAGATTCCTCTTTTGCTAATGTCACATGTCAAACTCGGTTAGAAATCCTGGATTCTTTTTGGGTGGGAACAAACAGATCATAGGGAGAGATCCTATTTGGAATCCCAGATCAATGAGCTGCTTTCTGTCATGGTATCTGTCTGGCCCATAGCAAGACCAGAGTCCTGAGTACCTGACATAACCCCTGAGTGCAATGGAAGGACCAGAGGGTAGAAGGTGGGAGCAAGAGTTGGGAAAGAGAGGAAAGGAAAGTCTTAGAGAAGACTTGCTGTGTATTAGGGACTTTCCATGTATATCATTTAATTGAATTGAATTTTACAATGATCCTGGGGGGCAGGTATCATATCCTTTTTACAGATGAGGAAACAGATTTATTAGCAGGTGGCTGAGCTGGGACTAGAATCCAAGTCAACAGAAACCCATAGTTCATGCTCCTTATACCTGTGAGTTTGCTTCTGCTGTATCTTTTTATTTTATTTTTTTTAAAGATTTTTTTTATTTATTCATTTGAGACACAGAGATACAGAGAGAGAGAGAGAGAGCATGAGCAGGGAGAGAGGCAGAGGGAGAGGGAGAAGCAGGCTCCCCACTGAGCCAGGAGCCCGATCGATGTGGGGCTCGATCCCGGGACCCTGGGATCATGACCGAGCCGAAGGCAGACGCTTAACCATCTGAGCCACCCAGGTGCCCCTCTGCTGTATCTTTTTAAAGAGAGCTCAGGTTATTTAGCTATTATATGCTCCTCTCAAGTATATCTTTTCATCTCTTCCCCCTTTTTCAGATATGTTCCCTAAAGTTGGGGTTGGCAGTGTTCAGCACAATTGCCAAAAGGGGTGCCTTAGATCATTCTCAGTTACTTCACCCTGCTATGAAGATACCTGCCATCACAAAACTCACTTCCTAATGCTTTGGGGGGCCCGTATCCAGTCTGATGAAGGCCTGAAGAGTGGCTCTTGAAATAGAGAGGTGCTAGTGCTCCATGATCCTGCTGTCTGAGGAGAGAGAGAGATTGGAGACTCGATCCTTAGATAGCAGCCCCCCCTCCTGCCCAGGGGAGGCTGTGTGGCTCTGGGAGATAATGCATAATAGCATTGGGTGGGGGAGGCCGTGGCTAGTTGTGAAAGAGCTTGGGCTTAGGGGATCTGCTTTTAGGTCAAGCCCAGCATAGGAAGAATGATAAAAAAAAATCAGAAAACACAGCCTGACGGGAATTTGGTGCTACTGATAAATGCTTAGGAGCTAACAAAAAGATGGAGCTTGGATACTGAAATGTTGGTAAACCTGGAATACACTGATGGGAAAATGAGCAGAATGTTTTAAATGGGGACCCTCTTATAGGGCAGCTGTTGCATGGATTGCAGATAGCTGAAAGAGATGGAGACCAGATATAGATCATTTAGGGTCGCTGAAGAGAAATGGTCTGGAGGTGTAAACTACACTTTGTCTGGTGGGGATGAGGGGAGTCAATTCAGCCTTGAGTTATGAGGTCAGTCCAGGCCTGGAAAGAAAAGGACTGTTTTTCAAAGCAAAAAAGCTTAACAGTGGGGTCCAGCTGGGGTGTGGGCAGTGTTGGCCCACTTATCCTGTAACTGGGGCCTAAAGTTGGGGAAACCAGTAAACAAGGAGAGTGGCTTGAAAGGTCTGCCCCAGAAAGTGTAGAGCTGGGACAGCTTCCTTTCCTGGGCTTAGTTTCCTCATCTATAAATAAGAACACCAAAATGAATGAACATGGAAGTCCCTTCAAGATCTCACGTTCCGATGACTTCCATATCCCCATGGGGCTGAGTACATTGTCTACCCATAGTTGGCATTCATATGCTAGGTCTCCTAAAGTCCTCCTTCTTATGGGACTAGTGGACCTTCTCCCTCACTGGCCATCGACAGATGAATTGAAAAGAAAATGTGGTATATACATACAATGGAATATTATTATCATTATCTTATTATTCCTTAAAAAGGAAGGAGATTGTGGCACATGCTGAAACATGGGTGAACCTTGAGGACACCATGCTAAGTGAAATAAGCCAATCACAAGAAGAAAACACTCTATGATTCATTATATGCAGTATCTAAAGTAGTCAGACTCATAGAAACAGAACATTGAGTGGTGGTTACCAAGAAAGTGGGGGGCAAAGAAAGGAGAGTTGTGTAATGCATAGAGTTCCAGATTTGCAAGATAAAAAGTTCTGGAGATCTGTTTTCTGACAATGTGAATACACTTAACACTACTGAACTGTACACTTAAAAATGGTTAAGATGGTATATTTTTACATTTTTTTAACCACCATAAAAAAAGAGAGAGAGATAGGGTGCCCGGGTGGCTCAGTTGGTTAAGCGACTGCCTTCGGCTCAGGTCATGATCCTGGAGTCCCAGGATCGAGTCCCGCATCGGGCTCCCTGCTCAGCCAGGAGTCTGCTTCTCCCTCTGACCCTCCCCCCTCTCATGCTCTCTCTCTATCTCATTCTCTCTCTCAAATAAATAAAATCTTTAAAAAATCTACATAGAGAGAGAGAGAGAGAGAGAAAAGCACTGGGGACCAAAATTATAAGTGACTCTGAATTGCCAACTCTGAATTCCTGCTTCTGCAGGAGGCTATATTTAATAGAAAATCTTCTGTTTACCTCTCCTTAGGCATCATCCAGGTGAACAAGACAGTGAAAGAAGTAGCAGTACTATCCTGTGATTACAACATTTCCACTGAAGAACTGATGAAAGTTCGAATCTATTGGCAAAAGGATGATGAAATGGTGTTGGCCATCATGTCTGGAAAAGAGCAAGTGTGGTCCAAGTATGAGAATCGTACCTTCACTGACTTCACCAAGAACCTCTCCATTGTGATCCTGGCTCTGCGCCTGTCAGACAATGGCAAATACACCTGTATCGTTCAAAAGATTGAAAAAGGCTCTTACAAAGTGAAACACATGACTTCGGTGATGTTATTGGTCAGAGGTCAGTGGGATTTTTCTGATTTACGATAAGCTGGCAGATTCTTGATGCCCTTAAAGACATACTCCTACTGATTTAGTTGAAAATTTTACCGAAGAGGGATGTATCTTCATTTAGGGTTAAGTAAGTCTGTGGTTTTACAAGCCCTAATTGACTTCTCAAGACATCCTGGAAATATCTATTAGTGTGCGTTTCTTGCATTTTGACAATCCAGATTTATGACAGTCATCCTAAGGCACTAGAATGACCTAAAATGCCTTCTGAGTCATAAGGGGACTCACTTGATTTGATGTAGCTGAACTATTAACTGCCCTTGATCCAGTAATATATTCTTGTGAAAGTATATTGAAAGGTATAAGAACAATGCAGGCAGAGATATTTTTCAAGTAATATTTGAATGCCTATTACTATGGCTATTGTACAATTTATATTTATTATTATATTTGAAGCTCTCATCTAATGGGTATTCCTACAAAGTTAGACATTAGAGGACTGGATGCATAATTTATGTAACAGGGAAGAAAATTAATTCATAAATCAAAGCTCTACTTCTACATCTACTGTGAAGGCAAGCATTTCTTGGGTAAGAAGGAGGCTTGCATTTATCACAGGTGATAGTACTAGAAGATACTAATATAGCCTGAGCCCCTTGCTGAGAAATGATAGCCCTTGACCTTTCCCCCATACCTGAAATTCAGCCATGTTTCTATTTCTTCCTGGACACTTGGGCCTTTAGTGGAAACTGAACCTATTACTTAATAAGAGATCATCATTCACCTTGGTAACAGATAATGTAAGTGGATCCTTGGTGAATTCCTCACTATTCTTCCCTGCTCTGTTCTCCAGCTATGTTGAATCTTCCACTTCAGCATCCAAATCACACCTAAAGCTTAGGAGATAAGCCAGTTACATGGGATTACCTTAAACCTCCCTCTTTGTGTATTCCCTACTCATGGAGAGAGCAATGATTATATGGTGGTGTGATTTTAGGGGTTCTACCAGGCCCACCTTCTCCGAAGTTCTGACCTGCACTGATTCCTAGAATTCCCACCATTATTGCTTCTCCTGCCAGTTTCAGCATTGTTCCCCCTACAAGATCTCTGTTAAAAATGAAAATGTGTTACCTGGGGGAGGTGGCACCACAAACATATTAGCCTGTAGTAGTTAATTACGTTAGATATAGTCAGTCCTGTCACAGAATGCCCGAAGGGAAGTAGATGCAGGACTATATACATTTTGATAGGAAGATAAAGAATAAAACCCAAGAGGGAGAAGAGGCAGAATTTCAGGAACGGCAAGACCTAGTAGCAGACCACAGCAGCAGACCAGGGACAGCTCAAAAGGCAACACAAGAGTGCTGGGGGTCTCAGAAGGGCCCGGAGGGGCAGGGCACCAAAGTCAGATGAGTGAAGACAAAAAGGGAAAATTTTCATTTGACTCAGAACCAATCAATTCTTATTTTTCCATTTGCATCAGTTACAACAGTGCTTCTCTTATATTAGGGTTCCTATGAATCACTATAGGATCTTGTTAAAATGCAGATTCAGATTCAGTAGGTGTGGGGTTGGATCTTCGATTTGGAACTAAGAGATCACCAGGTGATTCCCAAATGTACAGCTGCTGAGGACCACGGTTTGAGAAACAAGACATTAAATCACTTATTTGACTAGGATGACTAGCTGTCCCATTTTGCCCGGGACTTAAGAGGTTTCCTCAGACACCTGAGACTTTCTCAGGTTTGGCACTGAACAAGTTGGTCTCTCTACATTTGCCTAAGATTGCAAAATGGTATAATATCGGCATTACAATATCTAAAAGCCTCTCCATTAACCAGCATTTGGGGAACTAGCTGTACTAGTTAACAGATTAACTAGGGTAACGGATGTTTACCTTTCTAACACGTGTGCACCTCTTCCTTTCCTAATAAGATATTTTTACCCTACCCATTCTGAATGGTGAAAATGTGGGTTAATGCATTAAAACGAGATACAAAGGAATAATTGTTTTAAGGTTATTTATTTATTTATTTATTTGACAGCGAGAGACACAGCGAGAGAGGGAACACAAGCAGGGGGAGTGGGAGAGGGAGAAGCAGGCTTCCCCCGCTGAGCAGGGAGCCTGATGTGGGGCTCGATCCCAGGACCCCGGGATTCTGACCCGAGCCGAAGGCAGATGCCTAACAACTAAGCCACCCAGTTATTATCCCAAAGGAATAATTTTTTGATGGTTCACAGTCTTGCAAGGCTTTAGGTGCTGTTACTTGAGATGGATCACCTCACTGAAGGGATAGAAGACAGCTGAGGCTGTGCTAAGGCTAGCCAGACCTTGCAAAGATGTACAGAATATTTTCAATATTCTTGTGGTTAAGTATCTCTCAGAAAAGCAGAGCACAGAAATGAACATGAATCATAATTTAGGATATGGGTTACTTGGATTTGTTATTCCAGGTTATAACACATAACATTGATGTTGTAAGAAACAAAGGGAATATTTGTTGTTGTTGTTGTTGTTTAAGATTTTATTTTGTGGGCCTCGAACTCACAACCCCGAGATCAAGAGTGGCATGCTCCACTGACTGAGCCAGCCAGGCGCCCTACAAAGGGAATATTCTTGATGTCAGCTACCATTATAATTTTTTGATCTTATAAGATAAATTGCAGGAGTAGGAAATGTCAACTAAAAATGGCTCAGGAAAATGTCAAACTTAATTTAGAAACAGGGTTGATGCAGAAAAGATGACTTCACCTCCTACCAAATGCAAGTTTTTCCTTTTCCTGGCAGTTATAATCACTTGTCATAACTTCCCCTTTCTCTTATTATTCACGGCGCTACTGGGTGGTTTTGGAAGTTTTCACTGGGCAGCTTGATTTAAATGAGGGAGCTCATCCAAGAGAGTACAAATTTAAGACCCACATAACTCCATGTATTTATTAACTGATATGCTATGTGTCAGGTCCTGTGCTTCATGATTTATATTAATGATGTCATTTAATTCTTAGAACCCTGAAATGCCGGTATTATTATCCCCATCTTAGAGATGAGCCAACTAAAACTGAAAGTGGTGAAGTAATTGGCCCCAGGGCTAAAAGGCAAAACTGGTTTCAAAACCTGCTGTTGGATCTTGGCCAGCCTGTTCCTTAAAGGAAATCTTTATTAATTACGTATGTATGGTTCCCAAATGTTCTTTTAAAAAACCCCAACTTTCTAGAGAATCACAATCCTCATGAGTGGCTTCAGCTTTACATTATACATTTTGTATTAAAAGAAAATCCAAGTGGTACAATTTGTTTACACTATGATGCTTTCTAAATAAACTCTTTAAAAAAAAAACAACAACACAACAACCCGCTGTTGATGACCATTACGCTATACTATGTCTCTCTGTGGAACTCTGAATTGTGAAAAGAAATCTAACTGTATGGGATGAAGTATGCGGGGCTTGGTTTCCCACACTCAGGCTGAGAAGTATACATTTCTTTAGGCCTAAGACAAAGGGAGAATGTGAGTTAGAGAGCTTTGTCCTGTGTTCTCTGCAGTCATTTCACTATGCTTTGCTTTGTATATACTTTAGTATCTTATTGGGGGTCAACTATACAAATGCAGGAATGCCTCAAGTATCTTGGAGAAATGCTAGGAAGGCCCCTGTGTCCTTGTGATGCATATCAGAATAGCAAGGGAGTCGGTAAAGTAGAGTGGTTGAGATTACAGTTTCAATATTGTACAATTTGGACAGAGGCTTATCTTATTAAAGACTACTTTTGAAAATTCAGCAAGGGAATGCTAAAGAAAATTTAGAGTGGTGGTTATCTCAAGTTTGGGAAATGGGGAGACAACAAAGGTGAGACCATACAAGTAGATTTACATAAGTTATTACAGTCAGTGTGCTGGCTCTCAAGTTTGATGGTGGTTTCACAGGTGTTTTTTATAGTATTAACTCATAAATAGATAAATAAGAGAGCCACTTTGTATACCTCAAATATTAGGAAGAAAGGCAAGAAAAGAAAGGCAGGAAAGGAAAGGGGAAAAAAAGCAGGCAAGGGAACAGAAGAGAAGGAAAGAGAAGCTTCTGGTATCAGAAAAACTTGAATTCACATCCCAGTTTTGCCACTTACTCATGATTTCTCTCGACCTCAATTTGATTATTTATAAAATGGAAATAGTATTAGGTTAAGTCAAATGAAATTGCTGATATTTGACCTTTCTTGACATACACCTGCCTCGTAGGGTTGTTGTAAAGATGAAATGAGGTAGTGTCTAAGACCTAACAAACATTAAGAGCTCAGTAAATGTTGTCTATTATTTTTCCCTTCATCTCTTACAAATGCAAAATACTATGTCAGTATTTATTCACATAGATCTACTTCTTTCTATAAGTATCCTCCTACCTCCATCAAAAGTGATGAAGAATTGGGGTGCCTGGCTGGCTCAGTTGGAAGAGCATGTGGCTCCTGATCTCAGGACCATGAGTTCGAGCCCCACATTGGGTGTAGAGTTTACTTAAATAAATAAAAATCTTTAAAAAAAAAAGTAATGAAGAATTGACATACCCAATTCAAACCAAAGTTGATCTTTGGATTATACATAACAATAATTTATGAGAAGTTGCAAATTATATCTCATTTTATTATTCTTATTAAAGCTAATTTATTAAAAAAAAAACCTCACACACCCCCACCGCACCAATACATAATGATATGTACTTATATCTTTGTTCTTTCTTCAGCTGACTTCCCTGTCCCTAGTATAACTGACCTTGGAAATCCATCCCGTAACATCAAAAGGATAATGTGTTCAACCTCTGGAGGTTTTCCAAAGCCTCACCTCTCCTGGTTAGAAAATGAAGAAGAATTAAATGCCATCAACACAACAGTTTCCCAAGATCCTGAAACTGAGCTCTACACTATCAGCAGTGAACTGGATTTCAATATAACAAACAACCATAGCTTTGTGTGTCTTGTCAAGTATGGAGACTTAGCAGTATCACAGATCTTCAACTGGCAAAAATGTAAGTAACATTGTTCTGGGGGAGTTTCTACTGTGTAAAATCTAAAAAAGAAAACTCAGGGCGCCTGGGTGGCTCAGTTGGTTAAGCGGCTGCCTTCGGCTCAGGTCATGATCCTGGAGTCCCGGGATTGAGTCCCGCATTGTGCTCCCTGCTCAGCAGGGAGTCTGCTTCTCCCTCTGGCCCTCCCCCCTCTCATGTGCACGCTCTCTCTCTCTCTCTCACTCTCTCAAAATAAATAAATAAATCTTTAAAAAAAATTTATAAAAAAAAAAAGAAAACTCAGCCAGATCCATTTTAGAATCGTGTATATTGACTTTGATAGCATTTCTTGTATTTTTATACCCACAAATGATAATGAAGTGATATTATGACTTGTTAAGATCACTGTACAAGGTGTGAGCATGTTACTAGACTAATTTTCTTTTTTTTTTTTTTTTTAAGATTTTTATTTATTTATTTGACAGAGAGAGACACAGCGAGAGCAGGAACACAAGCAGGGGGAGTGGGAGAGGGAGAAGCAGGCTTCCCACGGAGCAGGGAGCCTGATGCGGGGCTCGATCCCAGGACCCTGGGATCATGACCCGAGCCGAAGGCAGACGCTTAACGACTGAGCCACCCAGGCGCCCCAATTTTATTTTCTTTAATAAATTTTCTAAAATTGAGACATCCAAATAAGTGCTCTCCCTCAAGTAGTCATCCTAGGAAGTTACTGTAACAATATTGTTGATATTGAAAGCACTAAAATTTGTCCTTCTTTGGACTTGCACTTGGGGCTTTGGTACTTTCTTTTTTGGGCACCTCCTTCCCATTGTCCCATGGTATCAAATCATTGCCTTTTGTGGGTGAATGTGCCTTTTAAGAACTACTGGTTCATTCACAACTAAGTCTGGTAAAGAAGGTAAATGACAAACTACTTGAGGGCAATGACTGAAAATAGAGGTCATTTTTGCCCAAATACCATGACCTTCAAATACTTTACCCTTCAGCTCATAAACTTACAGAATTTTCTGTCCCCAAGACGTGAAATCATTTGAAAATGTAAAATGGAATAAGTTGAGCTTCTATAAATTTATGCATGTTAAACCCATAATGGGTTATTACAGAACTCAGATACTTAAAATAAGTGTCTAACTTGTATGGCTGATTGTATGGAAGACCATCAGCTCTCTCTCCCACTGCCCAGGCCCACTCTTAATGGCACATTTTGTGGCTGCATAGTAATAAACAATACTATGAATTTGATATATAGTGGCACATGGATATATAGTATAAGATAGAATGTATAGCATGTCTTCCTCTGATCTTTACTTGTAGTAGAGGAGATATTTTAGATGGTCTAGTAGCTCATTCTAGTGAATGATTTACTCTAGATCTTTCCATCTTGAAGTGCACTTGTTCATTATTTTCTTCAGTAGGTAATGAGATAAAATTTCCTGGGAATATTAGTTCAAATACAAACAAAATTTTGACATGATTTTATTAATAGTCCAAATTCATTTCTTTCAGTCATCTTTTATGTGTTCTAAAGATTTTATAAAAATGAGGTTTGAGTTATATAGTTTATTAATTTATTGTGACTAAGGTAGGGATTAGCACACAAAACAGTAATAGCAGCTTCAATCATCTTATTTTGGACATTATATTTGGAATATGAGTGTATATGATATTTTAGGACAGGAATTGGCAAATACTTTCAGAAAAGGGCCAGGGAATAAATATTTTAGTTTTTGTAGGTCAGATGATCATTGGCAACACTCAGTTTTGCTGTTATAACCTAGAAGCTGCCATAAACAAGACATAAATGAAGGATATGGCTGTGTTCCAGCAAAATTTTAAAAAGGCAGTAGGCCAGGTTTGGTCTGTGTACTGTAGTTTGCTAACTTACAGGAAACAGAATGTAGCCCATTCATATAAAAGGAGGGAGCTCTTATTTAAAGTTGATTTAGACTGTCCAGCTTTAATCTTTTCCCTGATATGCCTTCTCTCAATTCTTCCCTCATGCTAAGGATGAAGAGTATACCTTTTTGGTCTAATGAAAAATACTAGCTCTTTGCCCTACATTTACAACAATTAATGGAAAGATGATTAAGTGTATGGGTTTATTCATTTCTTTGTTCATTCAATCTTTATTAAAGTAGTTATCAGATACCAAGCATCTTCCTAAGTACTAGTGTTGTCTTGATTGTCAGAGAGCTTTAGTGTATAAATACTTCAAATCTATTAATTGAACTGCAGGCATCTTTTTCCCCCCCATTTTTTTTAAGGGCGAGGGGCAGAGGGAGAGAAAGAGAGAATCTAAGACAGGCTCTACACCCAGCACGGAGCACTACACAGGGCTTGATCTCAGATCTCACGACCCTGATATCCTGACCTGCACTGAAATCAAGAGTCAGACGCTTAACTGCCTGAGCCAACGAGGTGCCCCTGAACTGCAGGCATCATTTAGAGTCTAAAGCAAATAATGCATTTGTGGGTGGTCAAGGGCTGGCTACATAAACAAACAAAAATTAGGTGTACAGTTCCTAAAAATGTTACAAGTCAATGTGAGCAAAGCTTTACATAAATATTTTTATAATTTATTTTATGTAAAAATATTTATGTAAAGCTTTATATAAATGTATTTACATAAAAATATTTATATAGGGGCATCTGGGTGGCTCGGTCAGTTAAGCGTTTGACTCTTGATTTCAGTTCAGGTCATGATCTCAGGGTTGAGAGACCGAGCCCCACGTTGGGCTCCATGCTGAGTGTGGAGCCTGCTTAAGATTCTCTCTCCCTCTGCCTCTGCCCCTCCCCCTACTCACACATACACACTCTCTCTCTCTCAAATAAATCAATAAAGTCTTTTAAAAATATATTTATATAAAGCTTTATGTAAATACCCACTCTAAAAAAATCCCCCAATTTATTAATTAAACAGATTGGGTCCATGATTCTTTTAGCCTCGGCCTGCCAAATTGGTTAACCCTTGATATACTGGAAGGCACATATGTGTGTGGAAGGAGGTGAGTCAGGGAGTCCCACTCATGGTGTAGCTCACAAGCTGTATGTGCCGATGTCCACACTTGACTCTGTAATTCGGATTCTGGTGGTGCATTACTAGATTCCTACTTGGCATCATGACAGAGCCGGTTTGCTGCTACTAGTTCCTCCTTCTTTTTCTCAAACATACATCCTCTTTCTAGGCTGAGTGAGGCTTGAGGATGAGTGAGGAGTGGCCTCTGAGAGGAAGCCAGGAGTAAGTCAGAACCTGTGGAACTTTTAGATTCCCAGGATAAGAGCAAGAGCCTCCCTGTCATTCTGGTCTGTAGAGGCCAATTCTGGTAATCACTCAACTTCATGCAATCCGGTGTTTTAGAGGAAAAGAAAAACAAAATAAAACAAAACCCAACTTTCCCTAGTCTCTAAGTGGTAGGTTCACTAAAGTCAGATGTGCATTTTAGAATAATCACTGTGGAAGAATATGTAGGAATTATTAGAGCCTTGGAAACCAGAGGCAAAGGGACCAGTATGGAGACAACTAGGTGGGAGGGAAGAAAAACCCGAACTAAGGCAGTTGTTGCATGAGATTTTGGGAAAAGGAACCAACTGCAGAGGTATCCTGAATACAGAATAGGAAGTCCATGGGAACCTACTGGGAAGTGAGCACAAAAATAAGGCTTCATTCTTATTTGGGTAACTATGGTGTTGCTCTTCACTGAAATGGGAGAATATGGTTGGAAGATAGGCTTTGGAAAGATTATAGTGAGTTCAGTTTAAATCAGGTGGAAATTCTGGCATCCAGCCATGTAGTCGGCAGTTGGAAATTCAAATCTGGAGTTCAGAAACACAGGAGGACAACAGGTGTTGGTGAGGATGCAAAGAAAGGGGAACCCTCTTGCACTGTTGGTGGGAATGCAAACTGGTGTAGCCACTCTGGAGAACAGTATGGAGGGTCCTCAGAAAGCTAAAAATAGAATTACCCTATGATCTAGCAATTGCACTGCTAGGTATTTACCCAAAGGATACAAAAATACACATTCTAAGGAGTACATGCATCCCGGTGTTTATAGCAACATTATCAACAATAGCAAAACTATGGAAACAGCCCAAATGCCATCCACTGATAAGTGAATAAAGAAGATGTGGTGTCCACATATGTATATATAGTAGAATACTACTCAGCCATCAAAATGAATGAAATCTTGCCATTTGCAATGACGTGGATGGAGCTAGAATGTATTATGCCAAGCGAAATAAGTCAGAGAAAGACAAATACCGTATGATTTCACTCATGTGGAATCTAAGGAACAAAATGGATGAACATATGGGAGGGGGAAAAGAGAGAGAGAGGAAAACAAATCATGAGAGACTTAACTATAGAGAACTAAAAGTTGATGGATGGAAGTGGGTGGGGGGTGGGCTAGATGGGTGATGGGTATTAAGGAAGGCGTTTGTTATGATGAGTACTGGGTGTTTTATGTAAATGATGAACCACTGAACTCTACTCCTGAAACCAATGTTGAACTGTATGTCAACTAACTAGAATTTAAAAATAAACAAACAACCCAGTAATTTTTTTGTGACAATGCCTGTGCAATATTTAAAGTAAATCAATCTGTAAATAAAATTTGCATTTTAAATAAAATGTGCTGTAAGGAAAAAAATGAGATCAGAAATATGATATACAGATTTAGAAATCAGATGGTATTTTAAACCTTGGGTGTGGATGAGAGAAAGGGAAAAGGCATGACAGATCTAGAAAGAGAAAACTAAGGTATATCTAGAACATGATGTCAACTAATTTTTAGTAATACATAGAAATATCAGCTATAAAAATGAGATATAAAGACAAGAACACTTTATTTTTTTAAAGATTTATTTATTATTTTTATTTTAGAAACAGAGAGTGTGTGCATGAGCTGGGGGAGGGGCAGAGGGGGAGAGAGAGAATCCTCAAGCAGACTCCCCACTGAGTGCAGAGCCCCATGTGGGGCCCAATTCCAGGTCTCCAAGATCACGACCTGAGCCAAAACCAAGAGTTGGCTACTTAACTGACTGAACCACCCAGGCACCCCAAGACAAGAATACTTTTAAAGTATCTCCTTAGAATCTTTTTTATGCCAACTTAATTCAGTAAATGCAAAAGTTCAAAATTTCTTTTTCACATCTGATACCTGACATCTGGATATTAGTTGCCCACAAATACGTGTCTGATCAAAGAATTATTCAAGAAAAATGCTAGCAGCTACTTAGTGGAGAGCTGAGCAGAGAAAGAAGTGAAAAATACTCTCTACAGTTGTATTGATATAACAGGTATAGAATCCTGCAGCTGGAAACACATTAGAGCTGACACTATTCTTTTCCCTCCACAGTTGAGCCACCCCCTCCTGATAATTCATTCCTGCTCTGGGTCATCGTAGTAGTAAGTGGGATTTTTGTGATCACTGTCATTAAAGGAATCTGCTCAGCCTACAGTAAGTACTATCATACTATCATACTATCATTCTGACCTCAATTCCTGGAAGCCCAAACTCTATCAGTATGTGTCAGCAACCTTCCAAGGTTTTAGCCTAGGTTATAGCCTCTTCTCGTTTTATGAAAACCTTAGTGTATTCTTTACTTGTCCCACCAAGTTCTATTCATTCACTGGACAGACATTTCTTGGACACCTACTCTGTGTCTGGTTCTCTACTAGGCACTGGAGTTACAAACATGAGGAATTAGTGTCCTCAAGACACATTCTAGTTTAGTCCATTTATTTTTTCCCCTTTGGGTTTTCTTGGAGACACTGAGGCTTGATAACTAATTTGAAAATATTTCTGATGCAAAGTGATATTCTAATCTTTGATTTTCAAGTGGAGGAAAGTCAGAAGGACAAGATTTGGGGTCAAGAATTCTTAAAGGAGGGTAAGATGCACTAATGACACTGAGAAATTACATGGCCACAGGTGATTTTTGCCAATTCTCAATTGCTTTGAATACATTTTTGGTTGAAAGATAAGGAGTGGTTGAGGAAAGAAGAGATATCTAGGACGTTTTTCCCTAGGAGTTCAAATTTTTGGCCTTATACATATGCTACCCTCCAACTCTGTAATTAAATGAAGAGGAACTGCTAGGCCAGAGCTGAGGCCATAGTCACCATGAAGGAGCACCAACCTTTCTTGGAGTAGAAATCATGTATATTGAGCAAAGAAAATTGGAAGACAAACATCTGATGATTTTCCCAAACTTCAGCACAAAAACTGTCAAAGCACAGGGAAATCACTAAGACTCTTTGCAACCAACAACTCAACCCACAGATAGGGTGAAGAAGTCTGGTGGGCTCAAGGATGTTTTTGATACAGACTGCCCAGCCTTACCCCTCTAGTTGAGGATCTCTTATTAACACTACTGACATTTAGGGCCAGATAATTCTTTGTTTTAGGGTTCATTCAGTGCATTGTAGTATATTTAGCAGCATCTTTAGGCTCTACTCACTATATGCCAATAGCGTGCCTGCCCCAGTTGTGACAACCAAAAATGTCTCTATTACATTACAAATGTCCCAGAGCAGGGTGGGGGTGGGGGGTGCTGGGAAATCTCCCTGGTTTAAGAACCACTAATCTAGTTCTTAGCCAGTGAAGGCTTCCTGAAATATTTGGGCACAATTTAGGGGAAACTCACCTATCTAAATCTTTATTGTTTGTGCTTGTCTTCAAGGACTTGCTGCAAGATGTAGGAGAAAGAGGAATGAGGAGGGCATGGACATGGAAAAGATCACTCCTATCAACATAGGATCTGCCCAAGCATCCGTATGAGCAGAACATCTAGAGGTAGCTCCTCTAGCTCTTCTCTACCAGGGTGGAATATATGAGATATATGGATCCCAAGGCACAATGTTTTCTTCCTCTCAGTACCAGATTTAAACCCTACCTCACCTTCTCAAAAACCTAATTCAGGTTACTCTAAACAGATGGTTGGAATCTCTCTCCCCACATGACTTGCTTATTGTTACCCCTTTCTTTGCTGTGCCATTCTGCTGTGTTGAAATGTCACCCTGTCTTGTCAGTCAACTGTCTTTCATTATCTGTAAAATACCTTAAGTTCATCTTGAAGTAATATTCCTGGCCCAGCTGCTTATTCTGATCATTCCTTTTTGCCTGTATCCCTCACTACTGATGGATGCAGATTAGGGTCCCTAACTGGTCACTCTGTACCACCTCAGTAACGTCCTCATTGGTCTCTCTGCCTCTAACAGAGTCATCCTACTAACCCAGTAACAGCCAAATTTTATAAAGAATCATTTCTCCATGTCATTTTCCCACTCAAAAACTCAGAAAAGACCCCCAATGCCTATAGGAAAAGTTTTAAGACTTCTAACTTTCCACATTTCAATTGATCTCTTCAGTATAAACATTCTCAGTTCTTTGAACTGTTCTCCACATAGTAGTTTTCCAGAAGCTTCATGTGAATACACTAGATGTCAACAAATGGAGTCCAAGACTTTAGATATGGTCTAATTCAACATACAATGGGAAAATTAATATCTGGGATCTGGAATGTTTTTTTCTGTTAAGAAAGCCTAACACAGCAGCAGGTTTTTTGTCACACTATTAACTTACATCAATTTTGTGTTATCCCAAACTACCCAGGCCTTTTCATGTTGAGAGAAACATTGGAATCCAAGAGACTGATACCAGGTCCAGGGTGGTTTATAGCCTCCATAAACAGTCCTTTTTGACTTATGAAGTTAGGGTGAGAAAGCATAAGAAATGAGAGTCTGCAGAGTTATCTTAAAAAAAAAAAGGAAATGAAATATAACACCTGAGACTTAATGTAATAGGTAATGTTTTACAAAAGCATTATTTTATTATTTCATTTAGTCTTATAAAAATCTCTGTGAACAAGATCTTTATCTCCATTTTATAGGAGAGAAACCCGAGTCTCCCTCCCAGAGGCTGTGATTTGCCTTGGGTCAGGCAGGGAAGGAGCAGAGCAGGACTCAAACCGGGTATGAAAGCTCAGGTTCCTTTCATCATAGCAGCCTATGCACATTTCCCCACAGCATTCTCTGTTTCCTGTTTTCAACTTCTTCAGGATGCCCTTTCCAGGATGTCCCCCTCAGTTCTGTGATTACCTAGAACTTCCTTGACTTTCCTTGTTAACAGTCTTCTGCTCAGCCAGCTGGTATGTCATACTGAAGCCAGGGGTCCAGGCTCCTACGTGGCCATCTTGTCCAGTTCAAGCAGCTCTGCCTTTGAGCTGCTGGAGCGGTGCAATCTCCAGCACATCACATTCCATCCTGCGTTTATTCTCACGTGCATGTCTTATATTCTTTACTGAGTTGTAGGCTTATTGAGAACAACCATGCCTGATACCTCTGTTTGCCTCATAGGTAGAATATTACCTTGATCACTAATGTTTGGTTGTTTGATGATAGCTGGTGCTTAATATTTGCCTGATATTTCATGTAATAAAAATTGTCAGACTTATCCTAAATTCTCCCATAATTTGGACTTCCCTTTATATTCTTTGGCCATCAAGATTAATATCTACAAATGTCACCTCAACTTGGGAGCACCTTTGTGATAAAAAATATAAAGTTTTAAAATGGTTTCCCCCTTTGAGAATTTAGGGTTTGAAGTATTCATTTAATTTTTTGTTTTCTCAGGTCCCACCTCCAACTTAGATTGACCTCTTCTTTGAATTTCCTCGGATGGCCAGGATTATCCCACCTTGCACTTCAAGTATCTGTTCTCTAGGAGCCTCTTCATTTCAGTGGCCCTGCAAAAAGTGACCAGAGGAATATGGTGGGGATATAAGTAGCTCTGGTAACCTTGGTCAAAGAATTTAGAAACAAAGAATTGTTCAGGCGTGGAAGAGACATTTGAAAACACTTGTCTCATTAATGACAAGGACATCAAGGCCCAGGGGGGTGACCTGAATGATAGAGGCCTGAGCCAGAACTCAGATTTCCTGTCTCTGGTGCTCTTTTCCATTAGTCTGGCTCTGTGCTATTAACTGGTGTGTGTCTGTATATATATACACACACACCAGTCAAAATGCTTCTGGAAAAAGAATTTGTCCAATGTCAGGTCAACTCTTGAGACTTGATATGATGCAACGCTGGAGGATTTTGTGTTGTTATAAAAAGCAATCTGATGTTCATGTGTTGGTAGTATGCTGGTATGTATACCGATGCGAGGACGATGGAAACATTAGTGGTGTTAGCCAGTATTTCATTTTTCATTGTGCTCTCTTCTGTTGCTCTCCCACTTCTCCATCAGGTTCTGGAGAAAGTAGATCTATCAAAAACTGATATCCTGTGACATGTAAGATGAATGACTTATACACCTCAAAGCAATAGTCAGGATGGAGAGGGATAGGTGGGTTTAAAGAATCATATCCTACTGGTTCATATTGGACTAATAATCTCCTTAAATGGCTTTATGCTAGTTTAACCTCATTTATAAAATATGAGAAGGTTCTCATTTAAAATGAGATAGGTTTTTATGGTGTATTACTAAACAGTAAGCTGTCCTTAGAAATCTATCGAGGTAATGAAAACAGCATTCCATAGGCCTTCCTTAGATCCCTAAAGTGGCTTTTCCTCCTTGGTATTTCTTTTTTTTTTTTTTTAAAGGCTACTTTTTAAATTTTTTTAAAGATTTGATTTATTTATTTGAGAGAGAGAGAATGAGAGATAGAGAGCACAGGAGGGAAGAGGGTCAGAGGGAGAAGCAGACTCCCTGCTGAGCAGGGAGCCCGATGTGGGACTCGATCCCGGGACTCCAGGATCATGACCCGAGCCAAAGGCAGTCGCCCAACCAACTGAGCCACCCAGGCGCCCCCTCCTTGGTATTTCTGATCCTCTGACACCAGCAGAGAATTGAAAAGGTGGCCAACTGCTGTTCCTGTTACTTGCTCATGACTCCTCTTTCTCTGAAGTTGTCTTCCACAACTCAACGGATCAGGAGGTGGACCTGACTTAAGCGGGAGCAATCAGACATTCTCATTTGAAAATTTGACGTTGGACAGCAAGTTGACCAAGTTTCTCACATGTGGCTGGGTCTAAAACATTTAATTTTGGTAGCTATAAAGGGACCAGATTATGCTACATAGTCTAAGGAGCAGAAGTACACTTTTAAATGGTTGCTCTCAGAACAAAATCGCTGAAGGAAATAAAAGTAGGAAACCGACACGAACTTAAAGCAAAGAACAAAAAAAAAAAAAGGGAATTGCCGCATTTAGTTAAGATTAATAATCCTTAGACATCAAAAGGAGACCTCAAGTCAGAAAATAGTACACACCTAAGAGACAGCTTATTTATACTTAAATTATATTACATTACTTATTACATTTGATAAATGTGTTAGTACTATTTTTTCAAAGAGTTGTACTTCTGATATTTTTGTGATGTGAATAAAATTATTTTTAAAACCAACCATCTAGTTTTCTAATTTCTAGTTGGAGAATTTAATCTATTATGTGGATGTGAATAAAACAATAAACAGATTGACTGCCAACTTGTCAGCAGTTTATGAATGGGATAATTAAGAAAAACATGCTTTATGGAGTGTGGTGATAACATGTAAATCATGTTAATAATATACTTGTGCAGAGGTTCTTCTATCCTTATAATTACTAATATCTGTTCTTCTATCTCTCATCCCCTGTGCTCCAGGGCATCGTGCTATGCTCCACATGCATCATTTCACTTAATACGCATTCTGAGGTAGATACTATTTCATTTGACAGAGGGGAAAACTGAGACCTGAAGTAAAATGGCTTTGCTATAGGTCACATGGCAGCAAAGCCACATGGCTGGGATGCTAAGCCAGCGATCTGTCTCCAGAGCCCATGCTTTCAGCCACTGTATCACTCGGCTACATAAAACCAGCTCCTGAAAACAGTTACTTTCAGAGCAGGAACTAAAAACAGAGATCTAACACCAAAACAAAGCACTAGCAGTTCTTCCCCCTTAGTACACTTAACACAGTTCATTCCACCCACCCCCCTTTAGGAAAAGTTAAAATCTGCAGGATTGCAGAGTCCTTCTTAAGGAGCAAGCTCCTGGAGTGTAGAGACTGTGTATCTATTCTAAGTAACTTCTGCATATTACAGCATAGACACTTTGTCAGCAACACTAAGAGAGGAAACAAAGGCTCCTTTTTTTAGTAATGCTTATCTACTTATTTGTTAAATTTATATTGTATTTCAAATGGTATAGGAATTCCCTTTTTATTTTATTTTTAAAGATTTTATTTATTTATTTGAGAGAGGGCATGCGTGAGGAGGGAGGGGCAGAGAGGGAAGGAGAGGGACAAGCTGACTCCACGCTGAGCACAGAGCCCCACAAGGGGCTCAATCCACAACCCTGAGATCTTGACCTGAGCCTAAATCAAGAGTCGGACACTCAGTCGACAGCCACCCAGGTGCCCCTACACACTTAGGCCTGTGATGTTTTCAGGACCCAAAGGCACAAGGGTTTTATCACAGACCATTTGCCTCACCTGGTTCTTTCCTCTCCTCTTCCTAGTGATTCCTAGAGTATCCTTTTAAAGGGCTGCAAGAATAAACATACAACCTACAGAATTCAACTCCAATCTTGGGAAATTTTAAATCTAGTGTCGTAAAATCCAGGGGAAAGAATTATGTATTGATTGATCACTACAGATATAATGTCAAATATATAGATCAATCAGGAAAGACGTAAGTGTGTATTTAGATTTAAGGATAAGTAAAGTGAGCGCACAATAGCCCAATTCTTGGTTAAAAAAAAGATAAGAGCAAGTCAGTGCCACTAGAGATGCCAGCACGTAATCTGTCAGCAGACTGACCAAGGGGAAGCCTAGCCATTGGCATTCAATGGACACAGATTCCTTCGATTCACCAATGAATGTTAAGTCCAGAACATTTTCAGTCTTTGTCTTGTTTATTTGTTGATGAAGCATTTCTAGGAAGATTTAGCAGTGCTTCAATTTTCTTAACATCATCTTTGGATCGATTTTTCTGTAAGCTATTTTCAATTTCTTCAGGGAGGAGCTCAGTAAATTGTAGTCTGGCTTTGCTGTAATAAAAGAATGAAAAGAATATATCATGTACTGCTGTTTCTTAGTTCTTAGAGAGATCTTTTTAAAAAAGATAGTATTTATCCATTTTCCCTGTGCCTTATGAGCAAACATTGCTCCTCGAACTTCAAAAACAATGACTTTCTACACTCTCCTAACCTGTTCCACTCAAGGGCCGACTGCAATTCTCACATCACCAAAATGGACACTGCTATGGCAGCAGCTCTGATCCCTAAAATATTCCAGAGTTCCTGCAGGGGTATCGTACTGCAGGGGTATCGTACTCAGGAAAGGCACCCTGAGCTCAAGTGTGACCCTTGCAAACTGGCTGTCCTCTTGCCCTCAGGGCTAGGGGTGGGGATGGGGGGGCTGGTGTGAACCCCCTGCCACTCCATTACCTCTCTGCTGCCAGACCTTACGGGAACTGCGCAAAGGCTATAACAATGGTAAATTCAATATGGAAAAGTCAGATGGGACAACGCTACAGATGTATATTTACAAAAGATTAAAATCCAATTTCCAAATAACATAGATCAGTTCTTTTTCTAAATCTCGTATTAGTGTCTTCCTTTAAGTGATTATCAAGGTCATCCATGACTTTTTTCTCAACTCTTCATAACCGGGTTTGACCATTTCTTCTTCCATATCTCCATAGCCAGTTTTCTATATTTTCTGCTAAGGCAATTTTTTATACTCACACTCTTTTTGACTTCTCTATAGTTATTTTCAAACAAAGAAGCAGGCATATAATAAGTTCTTAACTGTGTATTAAATTAACTCCTCAGGAATATCACATATATATCATAGACATATAAATATCTTATAAATTTTTGACCTTATTTCCTTCTAAAGTATTTCATTACTATAATTCAATTTGACTTATTGTTTTTAACCATTTTTGAGATTTCCATCTCTAAATAACTGATCAACTTCCCCCAGTTATTTTTCTGGTTTCCTTTTTTTGGGAGGATACAATTATTATCTGTTCATATTTTTCCAACTGTTAATTCTTCTGCAACTTTCGGGATCAAATTCAAATACCAATATACTTTCCTTACCTTTCCAATTCCTTTCTCAAAGCTTCCTTTTCTTAAAAAAAAATAAAAAAGTTTCTTATGACACCTAAAGAACTAGAAATAAGCTAACGCTTTCATGCTTTTAATTCTCTACATCACATTTTATTCTGGCATTTAGAATTTTAAGTGCTTTATTCTAGAACTTAGATAACTACATATCCCACCTACCCTCTTACTCTGGAGAAGAGGAATGAATGAAACAAACATATATTGAGCATTTTGGTGTGATTCTGCCTTCAGAATGGCTGAGAAAACAAGAGGGCTTGAAGTTAAGTAAAATATCCAAGGTCATGGAATTAATCAATAGCCTAACTGGGATTTAAGGTTTGTTTTCAAGGTCTCATTGGCTGCAAAATCAATGCTTTTTCTCTAGAACCCAAGTCCCTGAACAACTGATCTACAGATATTAAGAATTTCCAAGTGCATATGTGTGTTTAGCACCAATGGAAGTTTCAAGTAAAAACATGGAAAAAAAAAAAAGACCATTTATCTATTCAACTATGAAAACAGCAGCAGCTTTCGTCAGTACGCAGGAAACCGAGCTACGAGAATCCTTTGTACCAGGAGTGCTAGCTAGCAGCCTGTTACGGTGATCTTACAAAGAATCAGAAAGTCCACTCTCAGTCTGATAACTGGACCCCAGGGAACGACTAGATGGCACAGGTCAAAGTTTTCCTCCTCCTCAGTGGCATCCAGTCCATGAACAGCCACTATAACTACCTAAATCATGTGCATCCACAGCAAGAAGTGGAATCTTTGAATGTAGAGACCTAACATGCTCTGTATTGTTCATAGATGCATGTGTAAGCGGGGATATTGCCTTTTAAATAACACCATATGAAACTCACTCATTGCTGTCCACTTCCTTTAGGTAATTTCCTATGCAGTCAAGAATATAGAAAAAGAAAAAATATGCAACCAAGCGAGATTAACAATATCTTAAAAAAAAAAGTATCTAAAGAATGATCCTCATCAGATTAAAAATAAAATTAGTGTCTTTCATTTTTCCTTCATTAAAAAGATTAAAAGATCAGGTAGGGTACAAGTTGAAGAAAAGGAAACTCTTCTTTGAGATTTTATTTATTTATTTATTTTTTAAAGTAACCTCTACACCCAACGTGGGACCTGCACTCACAAACCTGAGATCAAGAGTGCTCCACTGACTGAGCCAGCCGGGTGCCCCAGAAACTCATCTTCGAGTTGAGGGGCAGTGTGGAGGACCTGGATTAACAGAGCACCACGATGGCTAAGGAAGTCAGATACCCTCACCTTCACGCACTCCTTACCTCTCTTCCAGTCTCAGCTCATGGAGTGCTTTGCGATCCTTCTGTGTTCTCTCTTGGACAGTTTCACCACAGAACTTCTGAAATGCCATCAACAGACTTCCTACAGGTGTGCTGAGGGGGAAGCAGAGAGCAAGCTTAGGATGAAAGGGCCACTAGAGCGCACCACTGTGGGAGGGTTCTGCTGAGGCCTGAGAAACACTGACTCAGCCACTTGGTCCCTGCCAGGTACAGGGACTCTGACAAAGTGTCCTTGTCAAATGAAGAAAAATTATTAAGGCAATTTCCTTCCTGGTCTTCTAAACAGTAGAGAAAAACAATCACTGCAACTTCCTAAAATGAACTGGTATAAAAACAAGAGGTCTATAAATTGGCTCTGTGTTTTATCATGAATGATACACTGGGAATATATATATTTATGACAAGTTCTAGTAAGTAGCTTTACACCGAAGATTTCTCAGAAGTGAAATTAATACCAGGAATGGTACCAAACCCTGTAGGGGGCAGGAACTGTGGAGGGCATTTTGGTTGGAGGAAGGATACTACTAGCTTCTGGAGGCAGGACCACCAAAACATCCTCAAATTCCAAAGTCTGGCACAACAGTCTCACCCATAACGTCAATAGATACCCATCGGGAAACTGATTTAGATAACAATCATTACAGTAAGAGAAGAGGGTTTGGTTCCTGTGTTATCAAAGAGAAGTTTTTGACTCTGATATAACTTAAATTTCCTCTGACTACAAGCTCATTTGAAGCTCATTCAAAAAATTATTTTTGCTAAGTGGAAATGTCCATGGACAAATGGATAAAGAAAATGTGGTATATACAATGGAGCATTATGCAGCCTTTAAAAAGAAGATCCTGTCACATGCTACAACATGGATCAAACTTGAGGATGTTATGATAAGTGAAATAAGCCAGTTATAAAAAGACAAATATATGATTCCATTAATATGAAGTATCTAAAGTAGTCAAAATCATAGAAACTAAGTAGAAAGGTGGTTGCCAAAGGCTAGGGGACAGGGGGAGGGGAGAATTAATGTTTAATGGGTAAAGAGTTTTCAGTTTTGTAAGATGAGAAAGTTCTAGAGATCTTTTGTACAACAATGTGGATATACCTAACACTACTAAACTGTACACTTAAAAATGGTTAAGATGATAAAATTTATGTTATGTTTTTAATGACAAAGAAAAAAATTATTCTTGCTTCTAATTTCAACAATTTTTCCCTCCAAAACTAAGCTGGTATATTAACAACATAACAAGGGGCGCCTGGCTGGCTCAGTCAGTTGAGCATGTAACTCTTGATCTCAGGTCCTGAGTTCGAGCCCCATGTTGGGGGTAGACTTTGCTAAAAAACAAACAAAAAACACAATATAATAAAAATCATGTTCAGCAATAGATTATGACATGCTGAATTTTTAAAAAGAATTTAAAAAAAGAATGCATAAATCTACAGTGTTACTTCCTCCTAAAAAGGGGATAGAAAAAGGGAGGGTACAGGTGGAAGGAAAGGGAGAACTCCTCTATTCTGGTGAATGCCAACTAATAAAAACAGAAGAAAAGACAGAACTACCAAATCATTTTGCAACCATCTTTATAATAACTGATTACAGCAACAATTATAATAGATCATTAAAGCCACAAGAAAAAAGATAGCTGGAGAACAGAAATTCAATCTTATCCAACAGATTATTTATTTATTTTATTTATTTATTTTTAAAGATTTTATTTATTTATTTGAGAGAGAATGAGAGATAGAGAGCACGAGAGGGAAGAGGGTCAGAGGGAGAAGCAGACTCCCTGCTGAGCAGGGAGCCCGATGCGGGACTCGATCCCGGGACTCCAGGATCATGACCTGAGCCGAAGGCAGTCGCTTAACCAACTGAGCCACCCAGGCGCCCCCAACAGATTATTTATTAATCACAATGTGAAAAAGATACCCTTACAGTGGAGAAATTTAGTAGATACCACCAAATGCGGTAGGCAAAATTCTAAAATGGTGCCCCAAATTGTCCTGCCCTAATCCTTCAACTATAAATATATTATACCCATGATTATGCTACATGGAAAAATTTTTACAGATGTAATAAAGGCTAATAATCAGTTGATTTTGAGTCAATCAAAAAGTAAATTATCTGGATAAACCCTTTAAAAGCAGAGAGTTTTCTCTGGTGGCAGAGTAGAAGTCAGAGAGATTCAAAGTATGAGAAGGATTCAACATGCTGGTTGCTGGTTTGAACATGGGGGGGGGTCACTATGAGAAGCAATGGGGATGCCTCTAGGAACAGTGGTGCCTGGCTAACAACCAGCCAAGGAACAATGACTTCAGCCCTACAGCCACAAGGATCCTGTCCACAACCTGAATGGTTTAGGAACAGATTCTTCCCTAGAGCCTCCAATAAGAGCCTGCCTGACCAACACTTTGATTTTGGCCTGGTAAAACCCTGAACAGAGAGAGCCCATCTGAGCCTACTCAGACTTCTGACCTACAGAACTGTGATACAATAAATGGGTAGTGTTTCAACTTGCTGAAGTTTGTGGTAATCTGTCACACAGCAACAGAAAACTATTGCACCAAGTAATTAAAATTAACATCACTTATAATCGGTGATACAATATGTCTGTTGATGTGATACACTGAGAAGGAATCAACTTCACCTATATTGTATTCCTGATGAAAACATTTAACCTAAATCTAATCATGAGGGGATAATCAAAAGAAATTGAGAAATTTTCTGGGGGGGAAAAGGCAGTGGAACTGTTCTAGTTTAAAAGAATCAAGGGGCAACTGGGGGGCGCAGTCGGTTAAGCCCTGGATTCTTGGTTTCAGCTCAGGTTGTGATCTCAGGGTCCTGTGATTGAGCCCCAAGTCAGGCTCCATGCTCAGTTCAGAGTCTGCTTCAGATTCACTCTTCCTCTCCCTCTGCCCCTACTGCTTGTGTGCACTCTCTCTCTAATAAATAAATCTTTTTTTAAATAAAGGAATCAAAACCATAAAAATGATATACAATTGGATCCTGGGTTTAAAACATATATACATATATATGGCATTATTATAATAATTGAAAAATTTTTAATACGGACCCTATTTTAGATAGCTATATTGAATCAATGCTAAACTATTTTTTTGTTAGTTACCTTTTTTATTGACCTTTGTAATTCATACACCATAAAAGTCACCTTTAAAGTATTGAATTTAGTGGTTTTCAGTAGATTTATAAATCCATCAACCATCACTACTAATCCTAGAACATTTTCATCATCCCCAAAAGAAACCCCATACCTGTTAGTACACCCTTTCATTCCTCTCCCTTCAGATTCCGATAACCACTAATCTCCTTTCTGTCTCAAAGGGTTTGTATATTTTGGGCTTACCATATAAATGAAATCATACATTTGTAACCTCTTGTGGCTGGCTTCTTTCACTTAATGCTAAACTATTTATTGTGATGAGTACACTGTGATATCATGGGCAAATATTCTTCATTTCATCCTGGGAGATACATGCTGATGTATTCAGAGGTGAAGAATTATGAAGTCTCAAAAGATTTAACCAAAAAGAGAAAAGAGAAAAAGAAGTGTACATACATTCCACACATAGAGAGATATAAAAATGAATATGGCAAAATGTTAACAATTGGTGAATGTAAGTGAAGAATACATGGGTGTTCAATGTACTAAGTCATTCAACTTTTCTATAGGTTCAAAATGTTTCAAAGTAAAAAGCTGAAGAAGAACATTTTTTACAATTAAACTAAACAAAACCCAAACAAAAACAATTTTAATAGAATGTGCTTGTTAATTGTTTCTTACTCTTTTTTTCCTGCTCCTTGTAAATACCATTGTTCAAACCACAAATAGTTTCAGGTGTTAGTGATAGCTAGGCAGTTTTTACTCAGTGACAGTTGGAAGTAAAATCAACCATCAGGGTAATTAGAATTTGACAGTCAAAGCCACTGACAATACAAGACTAAAGACCTTTTATAGGCTTTAAGATTTAAATTTGTTTAGAAATGAATGAGATTTTTAACAGGTAAGGCATTAATGAAGGTTGTGTTAATTTGGAATGAAATTGTGTTAACACTTACCCCAGCAAGGCTCCAATTATGCCACCAGCCACCAGACCATGCAGGCCCAAATTTATTCTAAAAAGACCTCCTGTGACAGCTATTTTAAAACAAAAAAAATCCCAATATTAAATTATCTTTAAACACTAGAATCTATCTTTATAATGTTCCTTCTATAAAAATGACATAAACCCCTAAGTTTTCTGAACCCAACATTAATATACCACCACAATCTCTTCCACACTGCAGGTTCAAAGGAAAACATTCCTTTTGCAAACCTACTTTCTCCATCTGTTCTAGGATCCAATCTCTTCTCGTTCAGCTTCATTTTTGCCCACCTCCTCCTAAAAATCTGTAATTTATTCACTTCCACCTCTTCTATTTCTGCCTTCTTCAAGAAAAACTTTCCCCAAATAAACAAAAACCCCTGCCGTTTATACCTTCCCCCCAGCCTCACTCTTTCTGTACTGCTACACGCCTCAGGCAGGCCTGCAAGTGGGCATTTGGCCTACAGTGCCACCTGGTGGTCAGTGCACAGGTCCTCTTTCCTTCCCACTGGAACGGCATCTGCACGATGTCATTCATTTTCCTCCCTCACCAGGTACAACACAACTAATGCCATCTCAGGTAGTAACATTTTTTAAAAAACATTTGAGATTTATTTGTCTTATTTAAGTACTATTCATCATTTTTTAATTTTCCAAGTTTTAAAATTAACAAGAACAAAAATTATCTTTAATTCTACTACCCAGAGGTAGTAATAAATTGGTCTTTTTTTTCTAGTCTTCTTTTCCAAAGCATTTTTAAAAAATAAGAATTAAAAAAAAAACCCTTTAGAATAGCCAAAATTTAGAACACTGACAACACTAAATGCTGGCAAGGATGTGGAGCAAAAGAAACTCATTCATTGCTGGTTGGAACCCAAAATGGGTTCAGCCACTTTTGAAGACAGCCTGACAGTTTCTTACAATATGATCCAGTAATCATGCTCCCTGGTATTTACCCAAAGGAGCTGCAAATTTATGTCCACAACAAAACCTGCACACAGACATTTATATATATAGCAGCTTTGTTCATAATTGTCAATACTTGGAAGCAAGCAAGATGTCCTTCAGTAGGTAATGCATAAACTGGTATATTCAGACACAGCACTAAAAAGAAATGAGCTATCAATAAAAGACACTAGAGGAAACTTGAATGCAGATTATTCAGTGAAAGAAGTCAATCTGAAAAAGCTATGTAATATTATATAACATTCTGGAAAAGGCAAAACGATGGAAACAGTAAAAAAGAAAAAAACCAGTGGTTATCAGAGGTTGGTAGGTGGGATGCATAGGTAGAGCAAATTTTTAGGGCAATGAAAATACTCTTTATGATACCACAATGATGGATACATGTCATCATATATTTGTCCAAACCCACAGAATGTACACCAAGAGTGAACCCTAAAGAAAACTATGGACTTGGGGTGATAATGATGCTTCACTGTAGGTTCTTCAATTGTAACTAATATCCCACTCTGGTGTGAAATGTTGATAGTCGGGGAGGCTACATGTAAGTGGGGGAGGGAGGATATGCAAAATCTTTATATCTTCTGTCCAATTTTACTGCGAACCTGTAACTATATTAAAGGGCAGGGGAGGGAGTATTGAGGCTTATAAGCTGTCAGCAGCCAAAAACCAAAAATGGAGTAAGACTCTATTACACGTAACTATATTTTCTATGAATAAAGACAGTTTACTTTTTTTTTTTCATTCTTGGTACTTTTTCTTTCTTTTTCTTACCTGAATGCACTGGTTAAAGTCTCCAGTATAATGCTGAATACAACTGTATTCATCTCAAGTACCTGAATTACAAGTGTATACATCTGTGCTGTGTTCTCAGTCTTAGGGGAAAATCATTCAGTCTTTCACCATTAAATATGATGTTTGCTCCAGGTTTTATCATAGATGACCTTCATCAGGTTAAAGAAGTTCCCTTTTATTCCTAGTTTGTTAAGAGTTTTTATCATGAATGTTGGATTTTTGTCAAATGCTTTTTCTAAGCTAACCTTAAATTCCTTGGATAAATTCATTGGATCATGATTTTGTTAAAGATTTTTGTGTATATACTTTTTTCTTTTAAAGTAATCTCTACACCCAACATGGGACTTGAACCCACAACCCTTAGATCAAGAGTCACATGCTCTGCCAACTGAGCCAGCCAAGTACCCCTGTGTATATACTCTTGAGTAATAGTGATCTGTAGTTTTCTTTGTTGTCTTCATCTGGCTTTGGTACCAGGATAATACTAGTCTAACAGAATGAGTTTGAAAGTGTTCCCTCTTCCTCTGTTTTCTGGAAGAGTTTGTGAAAGAAATTTCCCAAATAGCCATTGAAGCCATCTGGTCCCGGGCTTTTGTGAAAAAAAATTGTAATAATTTAGTTTATTAATTTATTATGGGGCTATCCAGATTTTCTATTTCTTCTTGAGTAAATCTTGGTAATTTGTGTCTTTTGTTTTTTCTTGGTCAGTCTCGCTAAAGGTTGTCTATTTTGTTATCTTTTCAAAAAAACCAACTTTTGGTTCCACCGATTTTCTCTTTTTCTTTCCATTTCACTGAGTTTTGCTCTAATTTCATTATTTCCTTCTGTCTGCCTACTTTGGGTTTATTTTGCTCCTCATTTTCTAGTTTTTAAAGGTTGAAGTTTATATTGTTCATTTGAGATCTTTCTTCTTTTATAATGTAGGTTTTATAACTATAAATTTCCCACTAAGTACTAATTTGGGTGAATCTTAGAAATTTTGACATGTGCTTTCATTTTCACTCAACTAAAAATATTTCTAATTTACCTTGTGATTCCTTGTGGTCTATGGGTTATTTATAAATATGTTGTTTAATTTACAAATAGTTGTGGATCCCCCATTTTTTTCAGTTTAATTCCACTGAGGTCAGAGAACATTTTTTGTATGATTTCAATACTTTTAAATTTATTGAGACTTGTTTTGTGGCCTTATATATGGTCTAGCCTGAAGAATATCCCATGTGCACTTGAAAAGAAAAGAATGTGTATTCTGCTGTTGTTGGGTAGAGTGTTCTATTGATGTTAGGTCATACAGGTTGATAGTGTTGTTCAAGTATTCTATATCTTTGTTGGTATTTCCTCTAGTTGTTCTATCCATTATTAAAAGTGGCATATTAAAGCCTCCAACAACTATTACTGAGTTGTCTATTTCTCCTCTCAATTCAGTGTTTGTTTCATGTATTTAGGAGCGCTGTTGTTAGATGCATATATGTTTATAAATGTTATATTTTCTTGATGGATTGGTTCTTTTAACATTATAAAATGTCTTTGTCTCTAGCATTTTTATATTATAGTCTATCTTGTCTGATACTAGAAGAGCCACTCAAGCTCTTTTCCTTACTGTTTGCATAGTTTATCCTTTTCCATTGTTTTGCTTTCAACTTATTTGTTTCTTTGAACTAAAATATGTCTCCTGTAGACAGCATATAGTTGGAACTTTTTTTAATAGAGTCAATCTCTACTGATTGCAGTGTTCAATCCACTCATATTTAATGTTATTACTGATACAGCTAGATTTAGGCCTGCCATCTTATTATTTGTTTTTATATATCTTATTTAATTTCTTTTTGACCTTGTTACTCCTTAAAAAAGTTACTTTGTTATTACTTGCTTTAGGGACTACCCTATGCATCTTAATTTACCACAGTCTACTTCAGATCAGTACCAGTTTTATTCCAGTAAGATGTACACAGACTTTTCCAATGCAGCTCCACTCCTCTCCCATCTTTGCGCTATTATTGTCACTTATGTTATGTATATATGTTAAAACACAGCAATACAATATTATTATTATTTTATACAATCCCTGTATTTTAAAGAAGCGAAAAAATTAAGAAAGGAAAAACAATAGGTTTATGATGTCTTTTATATTAACCTACATATTTACCATTTCTCATACTTTTCATTTCTTCCTGTCAAGTTACTATTTGGTATCATCTCCTGGCTCCAGCATACTTCCATTCCTTCCCTGTCATTTGTGCTATTAATGCCATATACAGTTTTAAACATGCTATATGTCTAACACTTCAATTTTATCATTTTATGTATTACCTTTTATTTTTATGTATTGTCTTTTAAGATCAGTTAAGAGAAAATATATATTTAGACAACGTTTAATAATTACTTATACAATTATCTTTACCGGTGCTCTTTTTTTTTTTTAAGATTTATTTATTTGAGAGAGAGAGACACAGTGAGAGAGGGAACACAAGCAGGGGGAGTGGGAGAGGGAGAAGCAGGCTTCCCACTGCACAGGGAGCCCGATGTAGGGCTCGATCCTAGGACCCTGGGATCATGACCTGAGCCGAAGGCAGACGCTTAAAGACTGAGCCACCCATGCGCCCCTTTACCAGTGCTCTTTAATGCTTCATGTAGATTCAGGTTACCATCTGGTATCATTTCCTTTTAGCCTGAAGAACTTTTATAGTATTTTGTAAGACAGATCTGCTAGCAACAAATTTTCTTTCTTTGCTTATCTGCCAATGTCTTTATTTTTGCCTTCAATTTTGAAGAATGGTTTGCTAGATAGAGAATTCTTGGTTGATAACTTATTCTTTTCAGGCCTTTGAATGCCATTCTACTGTCTTCTGGCTTCCATCATTCTGATAAGCAATTGGCTGTTAATCTTATTGGGGTGTTCCTTGTATGAATTGTTTTTTTCTTGCTGCTTTTAAGATTTTTCTCTTTCAATAGTATAATTATTATGTGTCTCTTCATGTTTATTCTTCATGAATCTCTTCATGTTTATTCTTCTTAGAGTTTGTTGAGCCTCTTCGATGTATGGATTAATGTTTTTCATCAGATTTGGGAAGTTTGTAGCCTTATTTCTTAAAACACTTTTTTCCACCTCTTTCTCTTTTCTCTCTATCTAGCATTCCCATCACATACCTGTTGGTATTTCTGATGGTGTCCTATAGATTGCTGAGGCTCAGATCACTTCTCTTCATTTTAAAAAATTCTGTCCTTCATGGGCACCTGGGTGGCTCAGTCGGTTAAGCATCTGCCTTCAGCTCAGGTCATGATCTCGGGGTCCTGGGATCGAGTCCTGCACTGGGTTCTCTGGTCAGTGGGTAGTCTGCTTCTCCCTCTCCCTCTACCCCTATCCCCAACTCATGCACTCACTCTCTCTCAAATAAAATCTTTTAAAAAAAAATTATATCCTTCATAAGAAACAATCTATATTGATGAATCTTCAGGTTCACCAATTCTTTTCTGCTATTTCAAATACGGCGTTGAGCTCCTCCTCTCCAGTGAACTTTTAATTTCTATTGTTGTATTTATCAACTCCAGAATTTTCATTTGATCCTTTTTTGTGATTCTATATTCTAATATAATTTTTATAATCATATAATTCTTTTTTATAATTTATCTTTTATAATTATAAAAATATTTTTTGTCAAAAAATATTGACATTCTCTATTTGATAAGTCACTGTCATCCTACTTTTATTTCTTTAAAAATGGCATGAAGTCTTTTTGTCTGATATGTTCAACAGATGGGTCCTGTCAGAGACATTCCCAATGGCTGCTTTTTTTAATCCCGTTTTTGCATGTCTTACGATATTTTTGTTGTTGTTGAAAACTGCACGTTTTAGGTAATAAATTACAGCATCTCTGTAGTTAGCACATCCTCCACAGGGGCATGGCTATAATTCTTTGTTTATGTAGTACCTTGCCTGGACCAATTCTGTGGAGTCTTTTTTCTGCAGACTACAGCCACTAATGTCTTTGCTTAATTTTTATCTTTATGCCTGGCTTCCTAGGCATCATACTGGTATAAGCAGTCAGCCAATGATTCATCAGAGGTTATGCTTAAACATCTCAAGGCAGTAAGGCTTCCATCCTTTGCCAATGTATCTGTGGTTGAAGAATGCATTCAAAGTTTAGATAGCTTATGAATCTTTTCTGGCTTTTTCTTTTGGTGTTCACAATTAACCCTCACAATGAACCAAAGACAAGTAGCTTGCTAGAGCCCTTACCAGTCTCTCCTGAATGTGCATGAATACTTACACGTGTGCAACTTTCCAGAGTTCTAGGAATAAGTAGGATCTTACTAAAGCCCTTTTTGGCTGTCTTGTTCCCTAGCTATCCCTGTTAAGATTCCGCCTCCTCTGCCAGTCTATTCTTTACCCCAAATAGTATCAAAACCTCAGGTTAGCTGTGTGATATTATCCTTCCCTATTGCAATTATTTTCAGCAACACCCCTTGGCTTGGAATTTTCTGATCTCTGCTCCAAATAAAGTCAGCCACCTTAAGCAGCAGAAATTTGGTCCTCCAGCCTGTCCTTGTGAAATTTCTACATCATGGAGCTGTGGGTTAGGGGGCAGGAGCAGCCCTAGGCTGAGACTAGACTCTCAATGTTCTCACTGAGATTCAGTGGAAATTATGGATAAATGCTTACTGATTTGTTGGGTGCTTGTGGTCATCTTCCAGCATCTTTAAATGGTTGTTTTTGATAATTTTGTCCAATTCTATTGTTGCTTTCTGTGGAGAGGATTTACAAGCTCCTCACTCGGCCATTCCAGATGTCAAATATACATTTATAAATGTCCAGATGAATGCCAAATAATAATGAGAGGAGACATCCTTGACCTGATTCTGACTTCAGAGGAAATTACTTTATGTTACACCATTAAGTTCAATGTTGGTTGCTGGTTTGAGAATAAAAACTTCTATTGTATCAGATGTATTTTTCTATTCTTATTATTTTTAAATAATTAAATAATTAAAATTAAAATTAAAAATAATTAAATAAATAAATAATTTTTAAAAAGATTTTATTTTTTTATTTGTCAGAGAGAGAGCAAGCACAAGCAGGGGGATCAGCAGGCAGACGGAGAAGCAGGCTCCTCGCTGAGCAAGGAGCCTGATGTGGGGCTATTTCTACTAATTTTTACACTCAATTTACATTCAAGAAACATTTATTCTACTCTACCATGCGTCAAAGAGTTGTGATATAAAAGGTAAAGGCTTTCTCTGATATCAAGTAAGTCATCGAGTAGAGAAGCAAAACAAGTTAACAGCTACAACATAGTGTTATACGTGCTTCAATTAAACTATTTATAGTAAATTACGGGAACACAGGGAAGACACCTAAAAAGACCCAAAGATAAGAATAGGGGCTAGGAAGGATCTCTAGGGAAACTGAAGCTGACAGATGAGCTGAACCTTGAAAGATAGGTCCAATAAGAGATGAACAAAATTGTCTGTGGGAGTGTGAAGGCAGGTTCAAGAAGAGGGACCAATACATGTAAAGCAAGATTATGTTGGGTTTGGGAAATCAAAGTAGAGTCATAAGGGTGGAGCAAGAGCAGTATATGGGGGCCAGATAAAGACTCAACATTAAAATGATGGAAAACTGTGGAAGAACCTCAAGCAAAAAAGTGTTACAATCATATTTGTATTTCAAAAAGGTAAGGCAACACTAGAAGTGGAGCACACCAACACTAGAAACAGGGAAGTCCGCACAGCAGCAGTGGGAAGAAAGAAGAGCTGAGAGTCCATATACATTAAAGGAAATAATTGATAGGACTAGAACTTTGGAAAGAGGTGCATAAAGGGCAGAACCATATCACTGCTTCGCTTCATTGTTGTTTTTAATTTAATAGGCTGGATGCTAGAGAACATAAAAGCAGGAACAAGTATGGAAGCTGGGGGAGGAAAACAGAGTTTGGTTTGGATACAGGATTTTGAGCCTACAGAATACCATGGAAAAATGGTTGCAAATTAAAAAAGGGCAAGTTTCAGCTGCTCCAATGCTATTAATGCCTACTTCTAGTTTTATATTTTAAAATGTTTGCATTAAATGTTAAATTCAAATTATGTGTATGTGTATTTGCCTATGTTATACATATACAGAAAGAGAGCATGCACCCAAAAGAGAGCACAAGTGATAAAGCAAATGGGCTAAAATGTTAACAACAGTTCAATCTCTGTATATAAATAAAGGCTATATGGCATTCCTTGTATTACTTTTATTTTTAAAGCTCTTTGTAAGCTTGAAATTATTTCCAAATTAAACATTTTTTAAATGTTATGTGCATTATATGTATGTTTTTGTAGGTGAGAAAATGTACATGAGTCAGTGAGTGCTTGGGTATATATAGCACATAATTCACATTTCTGGAAATAGTATTTCAATACTATTTTTAATGTTCATTTTAAAGAGGTCACATTTACCAAAGGCATAAAGCTTTAAAATAAAATCCAAGCTCTTACCATGAAAAATCTCGTCCCTTTCTATTTCACTTCACCAATCTTATCTCAAGCCACTCTTCCCCTCACTCACTATGTTCCAGTCATACTATCCTGCTTTTGAGGAACTTTTCTTGGCTTAGAGCCTTCACCCTCAATGTTCCCTCTGCCTAGGCTACTCTTTTTTACAAGGCTTACTTCTTCCCATTTTTCAGGTATCAGCTTCAATGTCAGCCTTCTCTGGAGGTGATGAGCACTGGGTGTTATATGCAACTAATGAACAGTTGAACACTACATCAAAACTAATGATGTATTATATGTTGGCTAAATGAACATTTAAAAAAACCAAAAAAACAAAAAAAAACCCTTCTCTGATCACCCTGACCATCCCATTGCCTCAACTATTTGCTACCTTCTATCACAGCAACCTTTTTTCCACAACCACATTAGATGGTAAAACTCCATGAAAACAAAGACTTTTTCTGTTTTGTTCACCAAGTACACCAAGGGCCAAGCACAATGCTCTTCATACATTTTGCATGAATGTTGAATGAGATGTGATGAGAAGTCAACCAAAGAATTCAGCAGCTCTGATTTATAAGTCCATAAATATTTTCCAGACCATATTTGAGAAGACTGAAAAAACATAAACAAGAACAAAAATGTCTTACCTCCTGCAATGACAAAATGGCTTAGGGCATTTTTATTTCGGTACACATTTAGACCAGTGTTGACTGTGCTGGAAAGAAGAGGGAAGAAGAAAACATAAAATTTAAAGTATATCCCCCTTACTTTCTTGATCATAATTTTCACTAAAGTGTTAGGTATTAGTTTAGACATGCCTACTATGTCAATTCCTGGTCTTAGTCTAGACCCCGTCAATGTGTTCCACACTACTAATATGCCTCTCGGTTTTCTAGGTGGGCCTTCTTCTGCTGAAGAATGAACCAAAGAGCAGTCAAATTTCTGGAAAAAATTTTCACTTAGAAAAAGAAATGTAAAGAAGAGTTTTGCAGAATTTCTCTTACTTAGAAAACCTTGTATGTATCTGGATAATAGTTAGTAGACTTCCACCCATGGATGCAAAACTACATTTGGACCAATCTTTCACACAGATAGATAAAAGATCTTGAGGAAAAGGGTATTATGAATCACTTTCATGTGGGTATTTAGTTTTTAAAAATCTCACTTGCTCAAAAGATGCGCTCCTGAAAGAATACCAAGATGCTGTGTCACAATTCAGAAAGAACTTACTTGAATATAGTCACAAACACTGTAGTTCTCCAACTCCAACGCCAGCCGTACCGGATGAAGCCTCGTGTGGCAGCACGATGTGCAGATTGCTAAAGTTAATGAAAAGCCTGTGAGGTTCCAAAACACCTTGATACCTTCTTTATTCTGAAACTGTGGCAGAGGGATGTTGGCTATGGATTAGGCAGGGACACCTAAACAGAAACACCATACAATCTCTAAAAATATCATTGTTTAAGTAGTAAAGCCAAAGCAAAAGTCCCATGTGCATCCTATTCTATCTGGAGATGGAAAAGGAACTAAGAATTGCCGTGTCAACCAAGTAATCTATCAATAAGGCATAAACTGAGGATCTATATGGCAAATGCCATGGCAGATATAAAGTCAGTGTTAGACATGCTTTTTATATTTGGGAAATCTTGGGGAAAAGAAACCATAAACTAAAAAAGAACCAACTAAATGGTAAATTAAAGGGAAAAGATAATAACACAGATATGTAGAAAAGGAACAGAGAAAGAGAAGAGAACTGATAAATTTACCATCCACCTTCTACATAAAAGTTGTGTTAACATATTACTCATTTAATCTTTACAACATTTTTTTCAGGCAGGTGCTTCGGTTTTTACTAAAGCATAGACAGGAAGTTTCTAACCAAGATCACTCAGCCAATAAGGAATAAAGTCAGAATTGGAAGATAGGTTGTCGGTCTCCACAGTATTTTTTCATCACATCACCATGGAGCAAGTCTGGTATAATATCCTGAGGATATAGTCTAGATTTTGAGAGAATTCCTAAGTGTATCCTTAACTACTATACGATATTGGGCAAGTCAAAACTCTCTGAAGAGTATCAGTATGGATTCATGTTTTTTTTAAATTTTTTTTAAGATTTATTCATTTATTTTAGAGAGAGAGAGCATGTGAGCAGGGGGAGGGGCAGAAGGAGAGGGAGAGAGAGAATCCCCAAGCAGACTCCCTGCCTAGGGCAGAGCCCAACTCGGGCCCTGATCCCATGACCCCGAGATCATGGCCTGAGCAAAAACCAAGAGCCAGACACTCAACCAACTAAGCCACCCAGGTGCCCCTGGACTCATAGCTTTTAATAAATAGGTGGACAAATAAATAAATATAAAAGTGTGTATGAATATGTGTATAGAAGTAGACATGAACACACACATGCCCTAATTTTGTCTACCTAGGGCCTAGAAGCCATGATAGCCTTGTAAGCAATGAGCATACCTAGCATCAAATCTTAGCTTTTAAATACCATTTTTCCACTAAAAGAAACTAGAATTCTTTGGTGGTAACTAATTCTGGGGCTGGTGCTAGAAAAGTAAAAGGTGAGTCAGGAGCATTCTGCTATGCCCAAAAGTAAAGATAAGCTCAAAGAATGATGGGGACAGATCAAAAGGACAAAGGACCTAGTTTGAAGGTCCCCAATTGTCCAAATCTAGGTCAATTTGAGCTTCAAGATAAATAATGATAATAATAGATTATGAACCTACAGAATAAAATAAGAATCCTTGAGTCCACACTGATATAAATAAATTCTAAAGAAACAAATAGAAGAGGAGGGAAAGCTCTTCCTTAAAGCTGACTACTAACAAACAAATATAGGAAAGATGGAATTAGAAAATAACCATTTGGCAACCACCACAGTACTAACTCTTTCAGGTAAGAGTCATCACTGAATGCTAAAACTAGAGCACAGAAATCTGTGGAAAAATAGGATATTCACATAGTTTCAAAATATAAATATCCATAAGACACTAGTTACAAAGGGAAAAAATAGTAACTTTACAGTGGATAAGCCTGGTAGAGACCATCTCAACCAAGTGTCTAAAATAAACATCATCAGTAACGAGACAAAAGATATCATGTGCTCCTGATATAATGTACTAAAAAGGAAACATCAATTCTAGGATAGTCCTGCTAAAACTCAGAGCCTGAATCTAATCATGAAAAAACGTTAAGCAAATCCGAACTGAGAAACATTCTACCAAATATATAGCCCACAATCTTCAAAAATGTCACAATCAAGAAAGTTAAAGAAAGAAACTTTTCTAGATTAAAAGAGACTAAAGAGGCATGAGAAGCAAATTCAACATGTGATCCAGAAATAGATCCTGGACTGAAAAAAATTTTTTTATTTACTTTTATATTAGTGGGATGACTAGCACAATTTACATAAATACATAAATAAAAGTACTATATCAGTGTTAATTTCCTTAGCTGGATAATTATATTGTGGTTATGTAAGAGAGCGTCTTTGTTTTCAGGGAAATATATGCTGAAGCATTCATCATGACTATACCTTACTCTCTAGCAGTCACAAAAAAATAATAGCATGTATTATACAGAGAATGATATAGTAAATGTGGTAAAATGTTAACATTTGGAGAATTTGGGTGAAAGGTATATAGGGATTCTTTGCACTACTTTTACAACTTGTCTTTGAGTCTGACATTTCAAAAAAACCCCAAAACAATTCTCTGAGCTATAACTTCCTCGCTTATACAACAGAACTGATACACAAATCTAACAAATGAGTTAGCACTCTACAAACTGTAGTTATAAATGCTAATTATTGTTTTAGTGTGAACTAGTGTCCTCCATGGAGGCTCTGTGAATGGGGTTAATATGCTATAACTCACCTTGATGATTTAGCTAGGGATTAGAAATTTATTTCAGAGAGTAGAGCCATTGTGGGTAATCCCTTTGCGGGTAAGAAACATGGTCTGACAAGTCATGTGTATGCACTTTAGCATTAGTACTTCCACTGTTATTAAGTATAGACTTTGTTCCTTTGCTCTGACATCCTAAACCCTCCCAACCCTCCTACTTGAGTAACTAAGTGTAAAATGAATTGCTAAAATGCTGTGCCCTCAAATAGTTTTAGAATATCAGTACTTACCACAGCATCAAAACGGTTATGATAAATTTCTGCTTGGCTCTGCTCAATATAGCGCTGTTTAGCATGAATAAAAGCTGGTATTCCCCCATATGCCCAGCCAATGATGCCTGCTGAAACTGCTGCCTTATAAATATTCTCAAGTTCCTTTGAAGTTCTCTGTTCACTTAAGACATCAGAAAGACAACGTTGTTTGGGATTAGTTTACGGATACTGCTCTCTGAAAGACAGTATGTTCAAAATTATCCCAATACCAACATCACCGCATTTTTCATTATGGGCAGAATCTTCTGATAAGTTAAATCTTCTGATGAATTAAATAGCACAGTTATACTATAAGTACTTCAAATCTATGCTGTTAGAAATTAGGCTATTGGTTGAATACTCTTGGAAATACAGCGATTAGAAGGGGCACAAGGGAAGCTTTTGAAATGCTGCTAACAGTCTCTCAGTGTTGTTTACAGAGCTATGTTTAGTTTGTGAAAATTCACTGATCAATACACTTACGTATATTTTTCTAGTTGCATATTATAGTCCAACAAAGTTTTTTTTCTAAGGTGCTTTTATGTGATGACTATTACAACTTAACCACATCTCTGGAAGCAAGAAGAATTTGTAAGCTGAATGCAAAGATCAGTATTTCCCTTTTTGAAATTTTTTATAAAGATTTTATTTATTTATTTAAGAGCGCGAGAGAGACAGAGTGTGCGAGCATGAGTGGAGGGAGGAGAAGGGGGTGTGGAAGAATCTCAAGTAGACACCCCACTGGGTGCAGAGCCTGACCCCAGGGCTTGTTCCCTGAGATCATGACTTGAGCCAAAATCAAGAGTCGGATACTTAACTGAGCCACCGAGGTGCCCGTCAATAACATTTCTGAAATCAGAATCAATGAGTCTTTATAGTTCCTGCATCTAAAGAGAAATCTAATTTCTTAGAAAACTGTAATTCTTATACTTATGTCAACAGGAAAAACTCCTATAATTTGAACGCTGTATTTATCTTTTACAGTGAATAAGATCAAACACATTTACCTAAAAACTGGTCTATGGCAGAACTCAGAAGAGAAAATGTAAGAGCTTAAAACTTAACAAGCCAGATGTATATGCTTTGCCTTTTTGTTCTCTGAAAAATTCCATGACATAGGTGATATTTATCTCCATTTTATTGATACGGAAATAGAGGCTCGAAAAAGTTCTATGGTTGGCCCAAACAGCATTAAAGTCAAGAAAAGGCACAGTGGTGAAAAGGACCTAAACCACAAATGGCAACACGGTTGTGGTTCTGGTTCTGTCACCCACTGTTAAACGACCTGCAGCCAGATCACAATCTCTATAAATCTTAGTTTCCTCATCTACAATGGAGGGGAGCATGGAAATTACACATTACCTTCAAATTTATTTCAGCTCCAACATTCTGTGGTTAATAAAGCTGGTCAAAATAACCCTCCTCTGTTATATACTACATAGCATCTTTCACCAGTATCTCATTGGAAGGACAAATGAGAAAGGCTGCCTCCTTATCTTTAAAATAAAGACGAGGGGCGCCTGGGTGGCTCAGTGGGTGAAGCATGTGCCTTTGACTCGGGTCATGATCTTAGTGTCCTGGGATGGATGCCCATGCTGGGCTCCCTGCTTAGTGGGGAGTCTGTTTCTCCCTCTCCTTCTGTCCCTCTTCCTGGTTCATGTTCTTTCTCACTTGCTCTCTCAAATAAATAAATAAAACCTTTTAAAAAAAGATGATGAAATCTCAATAAAGCAATTAAATATGATTCTGCCAACAATCTCACAATCTCAGCAACATCATAACGCTTCAAAGTTAATTTAACCACTGGGTAAGTGTAGTATGGTAACGTACTCGATGAAAGGGCAAATTTTTCACCAGTAATTGATAAATAAATAAATGATGAAATGAATGAATGAATGAAATATCCTGAGTTTCATTACAGTTAATTCAATTTGAAGAGTGATCCTTTATTCTGAAATAACCTTATCCATTAATCCAGCTAATATCTTGTTTCATAAAATAAGACAATATTTGCTACGTTTTATATATTCCTTATTTGACAGAATAAAAATTTTACAGGTCTCTCTGCCATCTCTTCAACCTTCATTTTCTGGAGAGGAGCAGGGTTCATGGTCACAAAATATCAGTTTGGGATAAAGTGAAATACGAAAAAGAATACTGGAGCGGAATCTTGCAGATGTGGATTCCAGGGTCAAGTTTGACACTAATTAGCTCGGTACAATTCTTCTAATTTGTAAAACCAGGGGATTACACTAAAACTATATTCCCTAAGTATTCCTAAGAGCTGGAACATGTAATGAGTTTCACCCTTACCATCTGAAATCTGTCCTGTCAATCAACACAACTACCAAATGTCAGGATACAAGCTTGGGATACAGATACTAGAACGCCAAATCTTATTTAAAAATAAACCACATCCAGGGGTCCTTCACCCCAAGATGACCCAGGTTTTGGGACAGCTCTTCGCAGTCCCCTCCCCACAGACCCTAGGCACTTTTACTCTTTGACAAACAGGTCCCGGAGGCGGTCCCATCCGGATTCCGAGTAATCGGGCTCCGGGACGTAGGAAGACAGCTTCTCTCTCTTCGCGAGAGCCTCCGAATCGGCGGCCACAGCTCCCGCAGCAAAAACCCGAGGGAAAGTACTCCGCTGCCTGCAGAGGAAGCTCTGTGGCGCCGGCGGCCGCACTTCCATGGCCCTCTCCGAACCTGTGGACAGACACACGCTTAGGTTCTCAGGGCTCCAAGGCCTCCCGGAGAAGCCGTAAGAGGGCAATAAGGATAACTGCAGTAATGAGTGGGTGAGTACCCGTGCACTAGGCCGCAGCTAATCTGCTGCCAGACTCGCCGTCACCGCTCTTAACAACCTCGTCCTCCGTGCCTGTCCTCACTTTGGAGGACCTTGGATACACGAGACAGGAAGTCCCACCTTCACCGGGGCAAAAGCCAATGGGTGGGGCGACGGCGGAGCCCTAATCAAAACACTTCCGGTTGGAGGCGGGACGAACCCCAGAGGTGTTAGGCCCGCCCCCGGAAGCGAATTGAGAGTGAGTAGCCACCGCCAGCACCGTGCACCCCGCCTCCCGCCCGGTTTCTGTGGGTTTCTCTCGGCTTCCTGGGCTACACAAGCCGGGTCTTGGGCAGGTTCCAGGCGACGAGATGTTGTCACAGGCTGGAGTAGTTTAGCGTATTTAAAAATCCGGAAATTCCACACAGATGAAAAAGAAAGTGCAGTATGCAATACAAGTGGAGAGGGAAAGGGAAGGACAATTTGCACAAATACAAGCCCAACCTACCTGTCACCGACGTGCAGAAATCTCCCGGGCTGGGCGGGGTCCACCCATACTCTCAGTTCTGGTTTCTGGAAAGAACTGTGGCATTGGAGTCTTGGTGCCATATACACCGGGATTTCCAGAACGCTTTTTTGAAGAATCAGCTTTGGGCGGTTCTTTTTTTTTTTTTTTTTTTAAGATTTTATTTATTT